AACAGAAGTGATCTCATCCCTTTTAGAGCTCACAATCTAAAGATGGTGGAGTCCTACTTACCTTGTTCTGCTTACTGTTCAACACTTGGCCACTTTAGAGAAGAAATAAAATTTCCCTCATGTTGTCAGAAACATGATGAAGCACCAAAACCACGTGAAACCTGCTACATCCATTGTGAACACAAGTCACGTACAGCCTTTTATTTTTGGAATAATAACCAGGGCAAAATTTCCATCACAAGAGAAGTTAAAAACAAAGAGAACCTGTGAGCTCTCTGGATGGAGCAGCAGATGGATTGTAGTGTTGCTGGCTGAGATGGCACTGATGTTGCAGCTGTGTCTTCATGGGAAAGACATCTAGTCCCCTGTCCAGGTAATTGCCACTGCCCAGACATTTTGTTCCTGCTACACATAGGAATTCAGAGGCCTCATTTTAGAAATGTGGGAACAGAGACTTGAGAGAAGGGACATACTTTCTCATAATGAATTAAATCGAAGCTTCTGACTTCCAGCACAAGATTCTTTTAAGCTCTAATTAAAATAAAAGCTTTTAATATGAGAATTGAGAGAAAGGAGAGGTGAGGAGGAGGGTGGAGAAGGGGAAGGGCTAGGAGAAGGCAAAGGAGGAGGTGTCAAATCAGGTGCCCATTAGTGGTAGGGGCACTGACAGGTATGGGGGCAACCAGAAACCTTGTGGGGAGGGCAGGAAGTCTGCTGGGGAAAGAGGAGATGGAGGCTGAGCCCAGCTGGTTTATTTTCAGAGTTGCTATCTTTATCTGCATCTGCTAAATTATTAAACTGATATCACATCCTAGAGGGTGCCAGGTCAGGTTGCAGGGAAGAGAATGAAAGAGAGAGGTTGGATCTCTTAGCACAGGTCTTGAATCTTCTAGGCTGGGATAGAAGTAGACTTCTTAGGCCTTGACCTCCTGCCCCACCCCACTCTCAGCTGATGGAGGGGATCCTGATTTGGGCCACAGCCACACTCTCCAACCATAAAGCTCTGTCTCTGCTGGCTGTTGCCCTGGGAGAGGTGTGGATATAATTGACAGGATTCTGGATTCAAGTCCTTCTCAGCTTCTCTCTCTCTCTCTCTTTAAACACTTAATTGTCTTTATTTATTTGTTTGTTTTGTTAATATCCTCACCCGAGGATATTTTTCCATTGATTTTTAGAAAGAATGGAAGAAAGAGGAAGAGACAGAGAGAAACTTAGATGTGAGAGAAACACATCGATTGGTTGCCTCCTGCAGGAGCCCTGACAGGGTCTGGGCCAGAGAGGAGCCTGCAACCAAGGTACATGCCCTTGACTGGAATGGAACCCGGGACCCTTTGGTCCGCAGGCTGATGCTCTATCCACTGAGCCAAACCGGCTAGGGCTGCCTGTGGGAAACCGCCTATTGTCTTCACTAGCAGAGAGGTGTGGACAAGGAACTACATCAGGCTGGTGACCCTTGAAGCCCTAGCAAAGGTCAGAGCCCTGCACCTACTGTTAATCCAGACAATGGTAGCTGAAGCAACTTCCCCACCAGACAGTCACGTAAATCCTTATTGATAAGATAGTCTGCCTGTTACTGGAAATTGCCTACCTAAGGGCTATGCTATGGGTGTATCCCAGGTCAATAAAAGCTTGGTGAGGCCTGAGCACCAGTGGAAGTCCTTCCTCTTGAGTTGGACTTACCCGCCTGGCCCCCCAATATTTCCAAATTATCTCTTGTCTCTTCTCTTTCATTTGTGTGCGGCTCCTCTTCCAGATCCTTGAACCCTGAACCACGCGGGACATGGAGGGAAACATTTACAACAGCTGCCCCTTCTTTTTTACGGTCTCTTGCTCAGACCAAGGACAGATATGTCCAGCTTCTGATACTTTGGACAAATCCCTGAATCTATCAATGCTTTTGTTTAGGCCGTAGGTGTTAGCAGTTCCATTTCTCAGATCCTGAAGATCACAGAGAAAACATGCCTTTCTCAGAATTGCACAGCTAGGACTGAACTGCAGTTCAAACTTAAGTCTCTCTAATTCTAGATTCCTTTCTTCTCTATTTTTAAGTTTTTAATATTTTCTCTATTTCCCATCTTTTCTACAAGAGGACTGTGTAACTTATAAAGATAAAAACAATAACAACAGCCCTGACCAGTCTGGCTCAGTTGGCTGAGCATCATCCCATGTACCAAAGGGTCACTGGTTGGATTCTCAGTCAGAGCACGTGCCTGGATGTTGGGCTTGATCCCCAATGGGGGATATACAGGAGGCAGCCAATCGATGTTACTCTCTCACATCGATGTTTTTTTCTCTCTCCATTTCCCTTTCCCTCTCTCTAAAAGCAATGAAAACATTTTAAAAAGATCAGAATAAAGCAATGATTAGTACAGTCTAGAAATGTACTTCCTAATTCCCAGTGTTGTGTTTGCCAGGCTGGCTGTGCACTGAGAGGGGGTTGGCTGTGGCCCCTGTCCACTCTGAGCGTGCAGAGCCCAGGGCTTGAGGAAGCCAGGAATAAAGCAGGCAAATGCCAAAGCTCTCATCTCTTTTCCTGAGCAAGCAGTATTCTCATCATGAATCTGTCTCCTTCTCCCCACCCCCCAACCATCTTTGCATCACTGGCTTTGATTCATCCTTCAGGTCTCGGTTTACATATCATCTGCAGAGAACTCTCCCTGATTCCCTCCCCATCCAACTGGACTTAATGTTCCCAGAGCCTCTGCATTTCCCCAGCCCAGTAGATACCTCGCTGAACTGCCATCACATGTCTGTATGCCTCTTAGCCTGTTTGCTCCCTAAGGGCAGGGCCCCATCTGATCATTGCTGTAAACTCCAGCAGCCAGCCAAACAGAGGAGGTAATGATCAAATGTGTCAAAGAATGAATGAATAAATGAATGCATGACGAAGGGGACTTTTCTATTCTTAACAAGCTTTATCTACCCTTGTATTATTTTTCAATTCAAACAAATGTTTATTGGATGCTTTCTGGGGCCAAACATCCTACTTAACTTCAGCAGAGTCTAATGATAAGCAAAACCAGTCTAGGGTGAGAGACTATTAAGTAAGTAAATAATAAACAAGTACATATATATCTATAACTTGTGGGAAATGCCATAGAGGATAGGAAGAGAGGACATATCAGAGAATAGCATGGAGATGAGCTATGACTTCGGGTTGGGTCAGATCTGTGTTTGAATTCTTGCTTGACCACTTATCTGCTGTGTGATCCTGAACAAGTCTCTACTTCAGGGAGCTTTGGGTTCTCATCAGAAAGAAAAGGTTGCTCATGCTCCTTTCTTGCTTTCTTTTTTTTAAAAAAAATATTTATATTGATTTTAGAGAGGGAGAGAGATACAGAAACATCAATGATGAGAGAGAATTATTGATCAGCTGCCTCCTGAAGGCGCACACTGGGATCGAACCCACAACCTGGCCATGTGCCCTGACCGGAATCAAACTGTGACCTCCTGATTCATAGGTCAACACTCAACCACTGAGCCACGCCAGCCAGGCTATGCTTCTCTCTTTCTTTCTTTCTTTCTTTCTTTCTTTCTTTCTTTCTTTCTTTCTTTCTTTCTTTCTTTCTTTCTCTTTCTTTCTTTCTCTCTTTCTTCTTTTTTTAAAAAATATATTTTATTGATTTTTTTTTTTTTTTTTTTTTTTTATAGAGAGGAAGGGAGAAGGAGAGAGATAGTTAGAAACATCGATGAGAAAGAAACATTGATTCAGCTGCTTCCTGCACATTCCCTATTGGGGATGTGCCCGCAACCAAGGTACATGCCCTTGACCGGAATCGAACCTGGGACCCTTCAGTCCGCAGGCCGACGCTCTATCCATTGAGCCAAACCAGTCAGGGCCTATGCTCCTTTCTTATGTATGATGTGGGGAGATAGAGAACATTCATCCACTAAATAAAAATAGGTTGAGTATTTTTTTTTAAATATATTTTATTGATTTTTCACAGAGAGGAAGGGAGAGAGATAGAAAGTTAGAAACATCGATGAGAGAGAAACATCGATCAGCTGCCTCCTGCACATCTCCCACTGGGGATGTGCCCGCAACCCAGGCACATGCCCTTGACCGGAATCGAACCTGGGACCTTTCAGTCCGCAGGCCGACGCTCTATCCACTGAGCCAAACCGGTTTGGGCAATAGGTTGGGTATTTCTTCCTACTTAGAGAAAGGACTTTCCCAAGGTCACCCAGATGGGCCCTGTGTGGGATTTTAACTGGTTGGTTCTCTGGATCTGGCTGGTGATGGGGGTAATTCCTAGTCTTGTTCCCCTTATTCATCCCCCAGAAGTTGGGAGCAGTGATCTGCCTGCTTCAGACAAAACACCTGTCAATCTCCCCAGAGTGATGATGATGATGTGTGTGTGCTGCACAGGGAAAGATACAAGGTTTGATGACACAAAGGAGCTCATTCAAAGGGATGACACCATTAAGCAGGACATTCTGTCTTACTGGGGGCAACCTGGTAACTCCTGAGCCTCCATTATCCCCATTGAACCCCTGTGAGTCCCAGAGGCCCTGTCTCCTTCACTGAACTTCCCTTCTCCTTCTCCCTCTGTGACTCTCCTCTAGAACCAATGCACCCACTAAACTCCTCCCCCCTCCCTTGCCGTCAGTCATTGAACCCCTCTTCTTGCCCTCACTGATCCCCTCTACTTGTCCTCCAGTGAGTCTCCACCACTCCTAGACACTGAACACCTCCTCCCTCACTCCTCCTAAGTCTTCCTTCCTTCACAGAGCCTGGTCCCCTCATGGATCTCTCTCTCCTCTCTGAGCCCCTTCTGAGCTGCCTCTCAGGAGCCCAGCTGTCTCGCCCACCAGTCCTAATCACTCAATCTAAGGCACCTGAAAGCATGGAGGGGGCGGCTCCCTGTTCTCTTCCACATCAAGCCCGTGCAGCTCCCCCATCTGCCTCCTCTTCAGCCTGGGCAATAATCACACTGGCCACACTTTTGGCGGGTCCCCCTGAGCCCAGGGTTAGCTGCAGTTCCCAATCCCTCTGAACTAGTTTCTAGCCCTCCAGCCTCCGCCCCACCCATTACAGGGACTTCCCATCTCTGATGGCACCTTTAAAGGGACGGAAACGGAGGCAGGGCCCTGGCGTCTGGGCCAGTGTTTAGAGAGGGTATGGCAGGGTCATTTCTGTTGTGGGGGAAATGGGCAGGATGACAGTGTTCCTCCCCAATGGCAGGAGGAAACCCAGGTATCTGAGCCCCCAGAGGGCGTACATGGCTGAGCTGCTCCCATCCAATGGTCCAGATTCAGTGACCGACCTGCAATGTGACCTTGGGGAAGGCACCACTGTACTTTCTGGGTCTGTTTCCCCTCTGTGTAAAGGCGTGAGACATCTCCTGAGAGGAGCAAACAGGAGCAGGAGCATGGGAAGACTTTTGCACACTGTGGGGTCGGGGGCTCCTCTGGTGGGTCCATCAAGGTTTGCGAAAGCCGAGAGGGACACAGCGGCAGCGCTGTGGTTTGTTTTGCAGGCACAAAGGGCCTGTCTGGTGGGGAACAAACCCTCTCCGATCCCTACCAGGACTCCAGTCCCCACTCTGTGTTAACCTCTCCACTGCCCCAGGGAGATCGGAGGAGGGGGTCCTGGTGGGCCTTGTGGCGCAGAAGACCAGGCAGAACCGATTGGACCAAGGGGTGCGGTACGGGAAGGAGCACTGTGCAGAGTTAAGCCTCCTGAGTTCTAGTCCAGGCTCTCACTGTCACATAGGCAAAACCCTCCCCCAGGTGGAGACTGGAGTCCATGATTCCTAAGCACCAGCTACCAGAGCTTATGACTCGGGGCCAAAACAGAGAAGATGGGAGAGGTGGATGGAGACCGGATGCCCTAGCAGAGCTGAGAGGGACGGAGAACGACCTAAAGGGTGTGGGCAATGTCGTGAACGGGCGAGGCAGAGGCGGGGCCAGAGCATGCCAGCCCTTGATTGGCTGCGCTGGCTATCGCTCCGCCCGAATTCTATAAGAGGCACTGGCGGCTGGCGAGGAGCGGACGCGGGGGCTGCGGCCACATCGCGTGCGTTCTTGACATCCATCCTCCCCCTCGCAGGGGCGGACGGCCTAACCCGAGGACCGACTGCTGCAGACCGCCGGGGGGCGGGGGATGCCGGGCTGCCGCATTAGCGCCTGCGGCCCGGGGGCCCAGGAAGGGGCAGTGGAACCGGGGTCGCCGCCGCCGCCCCCGCCCCGGGAGCCCCTGGCATCCCCTCAGCCCCCGCCCCCAACTCCGACCTTGACCCCGGCACCGACTCAGGCCTCGTCGCTGCCAGAAGGGACCCCGGCGTCGGAGGGCTTGGCCGAGGGGCAGGAGGTGCAGCGCTGGCGTCAGGGCGCTGATGGGGTTGCGGGGGCCACCGGGCCGGCAGGGGGCGCGGGCGGCGGCCCGGGTGCGGCGGGGTCCGGGGGGCGCGCCCTGGAGCTGGCCGAAGCGCGGCGGCGACTGCTGGAGGTGGAGGGCCGCCGGCGCCTGGTGTCGGAGCTGGAGAGCCGCGTGCTTCAGCTGCACCGCGTCTTCCTGGCGGCCGAGCTGCGCCTGGCGCACCGGGCCGAAAGCCTGAGCCGCCTGGGCGGTGGCGTGGCGCAGTCCGAGCTCTACCTGGCGGCGCACGGGTCGCGTCTCAAGAAGGGCCCACGCCGGGGCCGCCGCGGCCGCCCGCCCGCGCTGCTCGCCTCGGCGCTGGGTCTGGGTAGCTGCGTGCCCTGGGGCGCCGGACGCCTGCGGCGGGGCCGCGGCCCGGAGCCGGATTCGCCCTTCCGCCGAAGCCCGCCCCGCGGCCCCGCCTCGCCCCAGCGCTGACCTCGGCGCCGCGACCCCTGGCCACCCGACAGGCCGTTGCCGAGGCGCGGATGGAGGACTGCGGACCGCGTCACTGACGCGGATGGATGGACTGGTCGGTCACAGGAAGAGACAGTCGGGCGGCCGGGGGACCAGTAAAGGAGGCTGAGGTGCGGTCTTAGCGGCTGGTGCTTCCAGGGGGCGGGGGAGGGTGGTGCGGGGGACCTGATCTGCCTTCCTGGGGGCTCCTGGAGCCCGCTGGGTCCCTAATAAAGTTGTCCACCTTCTGTTGCGGCCTCTCCCGACCTGGGAAGCGAGGCGGTAGCACCAAGTCCCTATTATAGAGATGGACAGATGGAGGGTGCTCAGACCCCAGGAAGGTTTGCCAGCAAAGTTTTAACAGTTGGAGCCCGCTGCGCTGACGCAGCACTCCCTCCTCCTCCCCTGCACCGGCATTGACTTTGCTGAGTCCCTTGGGGCTGTAAGGAGAGTCTTGCCCTTGAGGCTGCTGTTTTCTGACACCTCCTAGCTCCCTACCTTTGGGCGGACAGAATAATGAAGTCCCAAGATGGGGTGGGGGCTGGTACTGAGTTCTCTCCTAGGCCCCTGTTTTCCATTGGTGAGATGGAATCCCAGACAGATTGAGGGGTTTCGTCCCACAATGCGGCCGCCCTTCCTCTTCTAGGAGAGGGTTTTTTCTCCTGCCCGCATGCAGCTCAGCTCAGAGTACAGCCTTAGATAACCAGTGTTTGGAAACTGCCTAAAGCCTCACTTGTTCTCTGAGGGACCCCTCCCCGCAACTTGGCTCTAAAATGGCTCTGCCAGGGATGGAGTCAGGTAACATCTTTGAACAGGCCCAAGGGTGCAGGTATGTCATTGGCTTCTAGAAAGGGGGTCCTTAAAGGGCCAGACCTGAAATGAGCTCTGCTTCTCTTCCTGCCCACATGCCCTTCAGGCTCCCCTTCCCCGGCCCCCACTCAGCTGTGAATGGCCTCACTGCTGCTTTGCTGCTCACCAGCTGAGTTGACTGCAGCCTTCACCTCCAGGAAGGGCTGTAGTGAGGTTAACACAGGGCAGAGGTCTGACTTCTCCCCCATAAGTCATAGAAGAATGGTTTATTCTCTTAAATCACACCTAGAAACAGGCAGGGCTTTCGCGGGTGGAGTCAGGAGCTATTTTAAAGTCCTCATTTTGCAGAGTGGCAAGGTCACATGCCAGCAAAGGGACGGAACTAGATCCCAGGCTTTCTCTTCGTGTCTCTCCCTGCGTAGGGGCAGGGGCTAGAGAGAACCGATGTCCAGCTTGTACGCCGTGTGACCTGGAACAACTCTGCCCCCTCTTTGGGCTGGTTTCCTCAGTCTCTCTCTGGATATAGCTGCTCCTCCTCATGTCAGGACTTGGGAATGGGGAGGTGGGGGTAGAATGAGAATGTCCGAGTCAAGGGAATCTGGTTTAATCCTAGAGTCCTGAGGGTCAGGTGTATTGCTCTGAAAGGCAGAGTCCCAGGGGCTCTCACCTGACCCTCCATCCCCCACCAGCCTTTTCTTTCCCCAGGTACCAAACTTTTGGGTTGGTTTCTTAGCTAACAGCCAGGCCTTCCTGAACCCATTTTTAGCTGTGGAAGGAAAGTCCAGGAGGAGGTCTCAGAGACTGAGGAGAGCTTGGGGGCCAGGAGAGCAGTAGGTGGCCCTGACATCCTCTGGCCTCCCCAGAGAGGAGAACCTTCTGAAGCTACTCTGGTCTTTGGGGTCTGGAGGTGAAGAAAGGACAGTGACTTTGCAGGAGTGACACAGTGAAGAGCTATGGCCACAGCACTGGGGTGTAGCCAGACTGTTTGTTTTCTGGGTTGCACAGAAGAGCACTTGGTCCAGAGAAGCTTTTAGCTAATGGTGTATAGTGCTCTGTGCCACCACAATTTTGCCTTTCTCTGGGATTTATTAGTAATCAGCTTTGTCCTGATTTGGAGGTGGAGGTGGGGGGAGGGAATTAGAGATGGTAGGAAATGGAGATGGTCCTGGAGTCACAGGCAGCTCTGCCTCCTCCCTCTACTTCCAGATGTCCCACTGCTTCCCACCAGGGACCTTGGCCATGTCACGTGGCACTCAGTGGCTTGAACCCCAGCTCTTGGTTTAGTGCTCTGCCCACTACCCCCTCAGCCCAGGGCCTCCTCTAGGAAGCTCCATTTTCTTCTCAATCAACAAACATTGACATCTACTCAGTCCAGGGGCTCAAGAAGCAGCACTTAATCAGAGGGTGTCTGCTTTGAAGATTCTGTCTCCCAGTCCTCTGGCAGCCTTCCCTGACAGTCACCATCTCAGGGGACCCTCTGGGGGCTGAGCAATTTGTGGTGTTTAGAGGACTGTTTTTAGGCCTTCATAAATAAGTATAGCCTCTGATCAAGAAATTGACCCCCTTCCCTGTCCCCCCGCCCCCATGACTTCCTGAACACTTTCTTGATGGCCTCCAGCCCTGGGGACTGGACCTGTGCATTGAGGACATTATGGCTACCAGTGAATCTGCGATCTCAACAAAGGGAAATGAGGGAGGAGGAGCCTTTCTTCAGGTTAATGCCTGGGGCTGGGGAACCAGTTCAGAGTTCTAGTCTGGAACCTGTCCCTCCCCTGGGTAAGCCCCTTCCCTCTCTTGGCTGGCCCTAGCCAAGTGAAGGCATCTCTGGGTGGCGCCACCAGAGGGCAGTGTGGGGCTGCTTCCCTGGGTACCTGGGCGTAGCCTGGTGCAGCTAGACTCCCAGTGTCCCCGCCCCCAACCAGCCTCCTGATTGGCAGAAGAGGGGTTAGGGGAGGTCACTTAGAGAAGAGGCTCAAAGGAAGCCTTCTGGTTGGGCCAGTCCCATCAGGAAAGACTTTCCAGGAAAGAGGCTGCCCCTGTTGGTGATCACCAGGAGTCACTTTGCTTCTCTCAGATTCGTTACACTGAAAACTCAACAAACATTGATGAACACCCTCTCCCACTGCCACCTGGGGACCAAGGTGGCTTCCTAAAGATGAGGCTATGCCACAGTTCTTGGCTCAGGTGCTCCAAGCCTGCAAATGGGCGTCTTCAGGAGGCTCCCCCCTGACAGCAGCTCTGGAGAAAACTGGGGGCCTCTCAGGGCTGGAGAGGTCTTTAGAGCCAGCAGGGGAGGGGGTGTTTGGGAAAGCTGGGAGGCCCCTAGCCTATTTCTTCCCCCATTAGTCCTGACCAGCTGCACCATAGCCAGGAGTTATGGGAGAAGGAATCCTTGGTTCTGGAATAATACATTAACCGCCTCCTCTATGCGGCACTGTGCTAAGCACTTTACACCCACTATCTATTTCAATCCTCCTAGCTATTCTGCAGCGTAGGGGTTATTCCCATTTCCACAGGTGACTTGTGCAAGGTCATAGAACCTGTATGCGGGAGATCCCTTAAACATCAGGCTATGTGACTTCATTTATCAGATGAGTGTGGGCGGATTCTGGGCTCTCACCTTTATGTCTGGGTCCAGTGATCCCTGGTTCTGGGAGAGATGTAATAAGATGCTGGAGGGGTAGCAGAAAGTGTCCCTCCCCAAGGTCTGGGCACACCCCCAGAGGCTGGCTCCCCAGCCTGGTTGTCTGGGTTCTGGGGAAAGGGATAGGGGTGAGCTAGTCTGAGTCAGCACACCTGGCTTCAGGCAAAGGCAGCCCAACTATGCTGAGGGCCTGTGCTTGCCTTGGACGGCTTCTTCCTTCCACACCTGGGCTAGGATGTTTGGTGCCAAGGAGAGCAAAGATCCTGGGATGGCAGAGGAGGAGGATGACAGGCTCCATAGTGGGGCAGAAAGTACCCCACACTTGGAACAAGACAGACCTGGGATTCTGTCCTGGCCTGGAACTTCTCCTCTGGGAGACCTTAGGCAAATAATTTACCTTCTCCCTGAACCAGTTTCTGTGTGTGTGTGTGTTGGGCAGCTAGGGAGGAGATAGCTTCTGAGTATAAAATGAGTGGGCACACTAAGTGCCTAGCACATAGTGGAGATCTGTACGTGTGTAATGGAGCAGATCTGCCCAGCTTAGGAGAAGCTGCCAGGACAGCCCCCAGCAGTGTGGGCCTTTGCTTCTCCAGAGCATCACCATATGAGGAATCCCTGGAACCTCCCCCTCTCTCCACCATGGGCCCTGGGGAACTCCATAAGGGGAGAGATGGAGGAAGGGGCAGGCTTTTCATCCCAGGAACATTCCATTCTAGCTGCTCAGACCAGTGGGGATCCCAGCCAAGGACAAAGGCTCAAGGGAACCTCTGCTTACCCAAGGAGCCCCCACTCCTTCCAGGACAGGAGTCAATGGAGCCCAGTTCCATAATACATAATATTACCCCAGCACTTTCTCTCCATAGTGGCCCCTCTTAAGGAGGTAGATGAAGGTTTTGGATGGGGCTGGGTGGCTGTGGGGAAGAGGTCATTGAAAATCTTGATATTGTTCTCTCCAGCTTCTCCCAGCAACTCTATGGATCTGAACTCCTGGGATTCTGTTCCTTCCCTGAGCACCTCCTCCAGGAAGACATCTTCACTGGACCCTTCACAAGGCGGAGCCTCCGTACTTCACAAGGGCACTTGGTTTTGCAGAGACGGGGGCAGGATTCTGGGGACGTTCCTGTATATGAATTTCTTTATGTATGCCACATTTGACTTAGGCTTATGTTGTACAATTGGAAGTCCCTGAGATGCAATCAGATTATTTAAGAGTGTAAGCAAACCTTTCCAATGTGAAAGTGAAAAGGATTTCTTTAAAAAATAGAGTCATCACTCTTAAACAAGTCACAACACGGCTTGGTAGCTGCCCTCGCTTCTCAGTCTAACAGCTTGGAGACCTGTTTGAGGGAAACCAGTTTGAGAAATCCCTGTCGTCCTCATTCACTGTTCTTGCCCTGTCCCTGTGGGAACATGCCTGTGGCCCCTCGGAAACATGATCAGCTCTGGCTCCTGAGGGAACACACCTCTTTCTGAGAAAGAGGTAGTGGCTACATAGTTCTAAGCAAAGTTTTAAAGGAGAAAAGGAACCACACTTATTCAAATGTCCTGGTAATAGATGGAAGAGGGTCACATTTACTCACCCACAACCCAGAACTTATAGAATTCTGCGAAATGAATGTATATTGAGTCAGTCCCCTGATGCATACATTCAGGAAGAATAAATTTCAATGATGTGAGACAACTGCATGTGGTTTTGAGTTTATTTTGCAAGTGTCCTTGCCAATTTTCCTTTATGTGTCTGTCACCACTCTTTAAGTTGGCAATTCCTCGAGCAGTTTCTGTTTAGTTTCATTTGACAGTCTTGGGACTGTTGACTGATTTGCAGACTGATTTCTTCCTTGACCTGGCTCAAAGCTGACTCTCTCCAGGAAGTCTCCCCTGATGAAGGCTGTGATGAGGAAGTTAGGGGTTGGGAATGCACATGTGAGATGTGTGACTGGGAGGGAGGTTGTGCATGTTTGTGATAACCTGGCAGCATACGACCATGCTGGCAACGGTATGGACCTGTTTGTCACTCAGGGTCCCAGCAGGAGACAGGCGCACTCAAACTGGGCAGAGATTGAAAAGGGGACAGAACCTAGACACAGAACCTACACAAAACCTAGAGACAGAAGAACTTTGCTGGAGAGAACATGGCAAAAGATCCTGGACAGAAACTGGCCACAGAACCTAGAGACAGAACCTAGTGAGAGAACCTGGCTGAAGAACCTAGAGACAGAACCTGGCAATAGAACCAGGCAAGAGAACCCAACCATGCTGATCAACTGAACGCTGCCTCTGAGTCTTTCCCTCTTCGCTGACTCCATCCACACCTTTGGGGACCCCTGGACCTGCTGGGGTTGGACCCCAGCACCATGCCAAGTCTGGGAGAGAGGACCAGGGATCCTGAGCCCTGGCCCCAATCCAGGGTCTCTGGGACCCCATCCCAGATCCAGGTACAGAACATTGATGGGCCTCCCAGCTGGGCTCAGGCACCTGCCAACACCAACAGGGAGAGGAAGCAGGAGTGGGTGTCGGGGGTGGGGGGCAGGGTGAGGTCCACAGACTCCCAAGGAAGATGAGCTGGCCCCAGCACCTCTGTCAGGACCCAGAAGAGCAGCTACCAGAGCTGAGAGGACCCCTGCTACCCCACACACACCAAATAAAGGCCACGCTGAAAAGGCCAAAAAAAAAAAAAAGAAAGAAAGAAAAGGGACTCTTTCCAAAGATGTGGGCTTAAGAAATTAACGAGGAATGGTGTCCCTCTCAGGGGATAGCAAAAGTTGGAAGCCTTTACAACTCCTGGCTCTAAGATGGGGGAGGGAAGGAGAGGGCAAAGGGATGAGAGGACAGCTGTGTGGAGAGTCCCTGACAGGAGCAGTGGCCTGTGACTGAGAGAGATGAGTAAGACAACTTGGTAGGGAGGGAACAGGGGAATAAATACCCCATTCTTCTCCAATTTCCTGCTGGGGCCTCTCATTGGCCAAACCCAACAGGAAGGTAGGGAACAGGGAGTCATTGATGCACAGTTCCCAGAGGTCATCCTCCTCAGGGCAAAGAGCAGGGAGAAGGGTGGGGAGTGAGACTGGAGGGGCCAACACTTTGTAGCTGCTTGGGGGCATATCTCCGGTTCCCTAATGTTTACAGCAGGGCTTCTTTGCCCCTCTGGAGTCCCCCCACCTGCTGTAGTCAAAAGGGGTGGGTGGGTTGTTACTTGGAGAGCACTGTGGGGAATGGGGCTTTCCTTCCTCACCCTTCCCCTCTCTGGCTCTGGGATTTCCAGTTCTTGATAACTGCCTGTCCTGGCATCTTACATGGCTGCAGGAATTGTCCACAAGAGAACAAGGCCAGCCACTGAGCCCGTGTTTTTCTCCCACCCACTGTCCCACTCTTAAACATACTCACAGGCATGTCTGTTAGCACCACAGGCCTCAGACGTAGTCACCACAAATCATGGCTGTTGTCACATGTACATCAAGAAAATGTCTGTCTTGTCACATTGATACACTCTGCATAGTCATACATACAATGTCACAGAAATATAAACTCTGTCACTTGCCAACATGCCCTGTCACATATATGTATAGAAGACATACTGTCATGCTCTTCCATGGGACATCAGAGCCTAGGGGCAGGATGGTGCAGGGGTCAACAGCAAAGGCTTTGGAGTCAGACTAACTTCTCTGATCTTTCTGGTATTAGTTTCCCGGTCCATGACATGGAGATAATTCTTGCTCTTGTGGCATTGTGAAGATGAAATGAGGGGTACTGATCGGGGAGACCTAGCATAGTTTTGGCCTGGAGTAAAGCACTCTAGAAACAGTAGCTGTTACCGGGAACTCCTGTCTCTCTCCTGCTTCTCACCCCATGCAGGTTACACATGGACACTAGTGAGCACGTGCACCTGCACAAGGCCAGTTAGACACCCTTGCGCGCATGCGCCCTTCCCACACATGCCTCCTGGGAACATGTGCACATGATCAGACAAGCTCCCCTGATCTGCATGGCTTGCTTTCCACTACCTTTAAATCTGTGCAATCAAATGTCACACTTTCGATGAGGTCCACCCTGACTTCTTTTAAAATTCACAAAATCCAGCTATTCCACTCCCTTACCCTGGTGTGTATATTTTTGAGCCTCACTGACCTTCTAAGACTATATAATTTAGTTTATGATCTGTAATCTTCAAGAGGGCAGGGATCTTAGTCTTGGGTTTGCTGACATATTCCCAGTCACTAGAACACGTAGCTGGCTCACCGGGGGCTGACTGCCGGTATATGCACTTAAGTACCATTGGTTCCTGGCTTCTCACCTTCTGAAACACACATATCCAGGTGAAGCCTGCTCCCTGCCCTAACAAGCTAAGCCTCTGTGCTTATACTGTGAGCATTCCCTATGTGCCCAAATCAGGAGCTGGGACAAACTCTGTCCCTCCCGGGACCTTAGTTAGGTGGGTATGGGCAGAGTGAAGATGGGAGCTATTTTAATCATCCAGCAAAGGAAGCCTTTCCACTCACCCTTCTAGCCATTTTGAGCCCAGCAGGGACCCATTGAGCAGGTGAGTTGGCACGACTTACCCAGATGACCTGGGGCCTCCTCTGTGGCCTTGGGTGTTTTTTTTTCCACTCTGGCTGAAACCATCAAAGCCACCACTTCAGAGACCACTAATGAGGATGAATGTGGATCAAAGGGGCTGGGTAAACAGTGGGAAGCGTCCAGGACCATGACTGGCTGATGCCCTGAGGGGAAGAGCTCCCAGAGAGCTTGACATTCACTCCCAGACAGCCTGGTGTGGCCCCTGGTGATGGAAAGGAGATGACAAACCTGCTTAGAACAAGTTGGATGTGTCCTTTGCAACTTGGGGGGTGACAGAACCGGAGGACTGAGGGAACCTCTCCCAGATAGGGTGGCCAAACCTGGGCTCAAGCTCTGGGGGACCCTAGAAGTCCCCCAGTCTTAGCTGCCACTAGTGGAGATTGTATCCAGTCTGGATTCACCCAACTTGTTTTCCACTTGCTTCCTGGGAAGGGATGGGGTGGAGTGGGCAGAAATGGGGTCAAGCAGCCCCGAGCACCACAGGGTGAGACCAGGTCCAGGATCATTTGGATTCTAGGTGGGAAACACTGAAATAATTACTCTTGACCAGGAGACTTGCTGAGGCAATGTGCAGGTGCAAGTCATACGTGTAGACATGAGCTCCTAGCACAGTTGTCAAGCTGGGGCTGGTGTTGATGGAGAAAGGGGCGTTCCCTCAGCCACAGCCCAGGACTCAGACCTCACCCCACAAAGTCCCCTCCCACCATATAAGCCAGACTCAGGCTTGGGAAGGCAGTCACAGTCCCACAGCCATGGAAGGTCCTTCTCCCAGGAGAAAGCATGGTGCTAGGCTCAGTGTAGATAATTTTTATTGGCAGGTGTTAAGAGTGCAGAGGTGGGGCATGGTTCTCCTCCACCAATTGAGGACCTGTAACCAGACCAGTGGGGTGGGAACACTTGACTGTGGCCAATTTGGGCCCTGTACCCTCCTAAGAACAAGCTCCCAGGCAGGAGGGCTCCTCGTGACATGGGGGAAGGGAGCAACACCCTGGAAGGGTCTTGGGCTGTGTCCTACCCCAGGCCACTTGGTCCTGTCCACCACATACCTTGACTGTTCAAGTTAGGAGTGTTAGGGGACTGGGCCAAACATATCCCTCTCCAGGTATCCGTCTCATGCCTCCCTTTCCCTCCCCAGTGATTAGCCAGATTGGACTACTAGGCCTGTGAGTGGCCCAACCTGACCCAAAGTGACTAGTTCCCATAATGCACCATATTTTAGCCATTGTGTGGGCTGCGGACCCTTGGGGCTGCTGGGCTCACTATAGGCTGGCCCTAGCCAAAAAGACCCTTCTTAGGCCATAGAAATCAACCCACGATGATGGACATGGAGACTAACACCCCAAACATGCTTTGTCTCCTAACGGCAATTAACCCCCAAGACAAACAGCTCCTGCACCCCACAATCATGTTAGTCTAAAAGTGTGCCGCAATAAGCAAAGAACCCCAGCTTGGCTGTAAGCCCACAGGGGCCTCACTCAAGGAGTCTGATCTGTTAGTGGAAGGCCCACCCCTGTAGCAGTGCTGGACTACCTGGCACAGGCTGCCTGTCTCTGGTCATGCCCTCCACACGGGCCTTGAGGCCCCACTCCACCTGGGGAGACCCAGTCTCTCCTGACCAGGGTCTCAGTCAGTTACAAGGCAGCCAGGTGGGATAGCAGGAGTGGGTCCAGGCCAGCAGAGGCTGCACAGGGGTCACATAGTAATTGAAAGTGGCAGGCACAGCCCCATCAGGGCCTGGAGGGCGCCAGGCCAGGGCAGCGGCAGCAGCTGGGCCCTGCTCAGCCAGAGCCTGGAGTGCCATGGTGGCGATGAGGTCCAGTGTCTGGCGACGCTCGTGGCTCATGAGGCACACAGTGCTCTCGTTGACCACCTGATGCAGCGTCACCAGGCAGGCGTAGCGGCGGGCTGAGTCGGCCCCGCTGAAGTGGGCCTCCAGGTAGCGCTCCAGGGTGCGCTGCTGCTCCACCAGGTCCGGGAAGTCAATGAAGAACCGGGAGCACATGTAACGTTGCAGGGCGCGCACGTCGGTGCTGGGCTGTGGCCGGAAGCCACGCACCAGGAGGTGGCAGTACTTGAGGAGGCCGCCACCGCGGATCTCTTCAGGGTTGCGTGTGGCGATGACTCTGTGCCGCAGGTGCTCCAGGGCCTCGTTGAAGTCCCCGTACAGGCTCTCGCCCGTCACCGTTGGATGGAAGGCCTCAGACATGGGCGTGGATGAGCACTGGCCGAAGAGCAGCAGGGAGTCCAGCATGATCTGGAAGGAGTCTACGCTGAACTCGAACTGGCGCCTGACTGAGTCCACAAATTTGAGCTCCATGTTCTTGCCGCTCTTGTTGGACAGCGAGATGAGGCTCCAGCGGTCCGTGTCTGTGCACACTTTCACCAGCTTCTGCACGTAGGCCTCCTTGAGTGTCAGTGGCGTGATCTTGGCCCGGCTCACGCCAGCCGGCAGGAAGTCCAGCAGGCAGGCCAGCACCACCTCCTTGGTCAGCTGGAAGGATGCCTCGCTGCGCAGGTCCACGCGAAACACTAAGTCTAGGTCCTTATAGCCCAAGCCATTCTCGGGGTGCAGCACGTGGCTGGCAGCTGAGCCGTGTAGCCGCACACCATGCACACGCAGTCCCTGTTCTTCTAGGCTGCTGCGGACGACCTGTGGAGGGGACGGCAGGAAGGAGAGGTGTTAGGAGCTTGTCCCCCGTTCCCAGGTCTGCTATGGGCTTCCAGGTAATAGCGATAATAATATCAACCACTGTTGACGACTTATCAGCTGTCGTGCCTTTGGAAAGACGTTTAACTCTCTAAGCCAAACCTCTCTAAGTTAGAGAATGGCCTATTTGGAGTTGGAGGAAAGCCTCAGAAAGGACAGCAATAATAGCAAATGCAAGCATAGAATTTACTAAAAGCCAGGTACTGATCTAAGCACTTTATACATTAGGACATAAATTCGCATAATTCTCACAATAACTCTGTGAGGTAGGTACAAATATCCCCACGTTACAGATGGGCAAATGGAAACACAGAGGGGCCAAGTAACTTGCCTAAGGTCACCCAGCTGGTGAATGCAGAGCTGGGAATTAAACTCAGAGTCCATGTCTTAACCACTATGCTATCCTACTTTTCTAAAACTGTAAGTAAAACAGTTTTGTGTCAGGCATAATGCTAATTGCTCAAATGTGTTTGGAACATAATTGTTAGTTCACATTCATTACTACATTATTCCTCCCAATAATCCTATGTTTGAGTATTATTATTCCAATTTACAGATGGGGGACCTGAGGCACAGAGAGGTTAACAAACACATCCAAGGTCAGAGAGTGGCCAGGGTGAGACGAGAACCCACGTCAGTTGGATTCTCAAATCCATGCACGCTCTTTTGACTCTGAGATCCACATCTTAATTCATCTTTACAAGATCCCGGTGAGGCAAATATTATACTCATTTTACAGATGGGGAAACTGAGGCTTACAGTGGTGAAATATCTAGGGGAAGCCATTCAGAAATGGCAGGCCTGGCAGTTAAAACCCAGAACCTTTCCACTCTTAGAAAGCCTCCCCACCAAGTGGGAAGAGATGTAGCAGATCCCATCTGCTGACACAGGGACATGACAGGCAAACCTACAAGTCATCTTAAACCTGCTCCTCTAGCCAGAGGCGTCTTCCCAGGCCTAGGACCAGGTGGGGAGAAGAGGGGAGCTGGGCTGGACACTCAGAGACCCAGAGTGCTTCACACACTGTCCTGAAAGTGACCAGGCAGCATTCCTACCCTGAGTGATTCTGCAACCCTTGTTGCCAAGTCAGCGCCTGCCGCCTGCTGGAGGGGCTGCCCTCTGAGCCTCAGGAGGAATTACTGTAAAGAATGCATCTAAGTGCTGAGGAGGCAAGATGCAGTGGGGCAATCTGGGGCGGGCGGCTCCCTCCAGGAAGGCTTCCGGGAGGAGGACCTTGACCATGGGCAGGTATTTTCATGGCTATGGGGAGTGAGCAACTGGCCATCAAAAACTTGCGAGGGGGTGAGGGGGACGCTGGGGGAGGGAAAGAGGAGTATTAGATGCCAGGCACTAGACCTTACCAGGATCTATAAGAGAGGTCTTTATGATCGCTAAGTTATAAATTGGGATACTGAGGCTCACAGCAGTGAAGTCACCTGCCCAAGATAAGTCTCTGAGTTTAATTCCCAGCTCTGCATTCACCAGCTGGGTGACCTTGGGCAAGTTACTTGGCCCCTCTGTTTCCACTTGCCCATCTGTAACGTGGGGATATTTGTACCTACCTCACGGAGTTATTGTGAGAATTACGCGAATTTATATCCTAATGTATAAATCTTCAAATCCAGGTATGACTGACTCCAAAGCATAACCTCTTTCTACCGCATTACCATTTTCCACGGTTCAGAGGGAGCAGAGACCAGAAACTAGGGTTCTAATCCTCCCTCCCTCTTAAAATTTCAAAGCGAGGCCAAAGCTTCCAGTCACTGAAGCCCAGAGTCAGAGTAGTTACGAGCAGGAGGTTAGGGTTGGGGAATGCCTTGGCCAGACAGGCAGGGGAGGCTGGAGGTAAGGAGCCACTTGCTGCAGTCCAGCCTGTGGGACTTCTAACCCACACCCTGGCAGCTGTATCCATGTAGGTCCAGGAGAGAAATGGCCAAAGACTTTATCCCAAGGACCCTGGTCAGGCCTGCAGAGCAGACCAGCCCCCTCCCATGTCCCATTAGAGCTGACTAAGCCTTACTCAGTGCCAGCTCCTGCTCCCAGGCGATGCCCACCCCAGGGCATGGCATCTGGCCTGGTGAGTAGGTAGCAGTACTCTTGTTAAATCTCCTGCGTCAGGCCATGGGGTTGGCTGTGTCAGCCAGCCAGAGGCTGTTGTCTCTTTCCCAGGTGTGACTACAGCCAGTTTGGCAGATAGTCCCCAGATACTGCCACACCCAAGGACTGCAGGGCAGCTTGGAGCCTCCTGAATCAGACGAGGGGGCAGTGGCTACACCCTCCTTTCTCCTGTGCCAAGGCCTTCCCCAGAACCACTCTGCTCCCAGGCCACTGCTGAGACCTGCAGGGAGACCGTAGGTGCTGCCAGATAGCAGGCTTATAAAAATTCAGAGCCACCTAATGCAAGTCCTAGGGCTGCAGCTGGAGAGATAAGATTGTGACCTTGACAAAGGACTTATCCAAGGTCACACAGGCAATAAATGGCTGAACTTAATTAGCACCAGGCTTCCCAGAGGGCAGGGACCTCTTACAAAAGAGTGGGCCCCCTAGCCCAGGTACAAGCAAGAACTGCATTTCTTGCTGCTCAGATTGCTGCTGTAGGCGAAACCTTGCGGGGGGCGGGGGGGGGGGGAGCGGGGGGGCGGGGGAATAGGGAGAAAGATTCTAATTCTAGAACTGTGGGGAAACCCAGCACTGGTAAGAAGCCCAAAGTCAATAACCAGCGCCCCCACCACACACACCCACCCAGTGCCCCCACCATACACACCAGCACTCCCACCACACACACCCAGTGCCCCCACCACACACCCAGCGCCCCACCACACACCCAGTGCCCCCACCACATATACCCAGCACTCCCACCACACACACCCAGCACTCCCACCACACACACCCAGTGCCCCCACCACACATACCAGCACTCCCACACACACACCCAGTGCCCCCACCACACATACCAGCACTCCCACACACACACCCAGTGCCCCCAACACACACCCAGTGCCCCCACCACACATACCAGCACTCCCACACACACACCCAGCACTCCCACACACACACCCAGCACTCCCACCACACACACCAGCGCTCCCACACACACACCCAGTGCCCCCACCACACACACCCAATGCCCCCACCACATACACCCAGCACTCCCACACACACCAGCACTCCCACACACACACCCAGTGCCCCCACCACACACACCCAGTGCCCCCACCGCACACACCAGCACTCCCACACACACCAGCACTCCCCCACACACACCCAGTGCCCCCACCACACACACCAGCACTCCCACACACACACCCAGTGCCCCCACCACACATACCAGCACTCCCACACACACACCCAGTGCCCCCACTACGCACACCCAGAGCTCCCACCACACACTTCCCAACCACTTGTGAAGCTGCCAGCTACAGATTCCTGGCGGAAGATGGATTTTCTTTCCTGTGGAGGCAATTGTACAGGCCAGGTGAAGGCACCTGTTCCCTTTGGATTCTAGAACCAGAAAGGGTGTTGGAGAGCAGCCCAATCCATCCCCATTGAACAGATAGGAACACTGGGCCCAGCAGAGGAAAGAGACAACAGTACAGGTCCTAAAGCCAGATGTTCGACCTTCCAGTCCAGCTCTGAAGTCTCTGCTGCCCTCCCCACCACAGCAGGCAGCTCCCTGCTCTGTGCCATCTCTGGCCCTTGTCTAGGAGGACATTATACTATTATCACATTGTAAGGTCAGCTCCCCCACTTAGCTGGGAGGACCTGGAAAGCAGGAAGGCTAGGTCCCAGTCATATCTATGCTCCCCCTAGGGTTCCAAAGAGGGCTTGGCACCGAGCTGGCACCCGTAAAGGCAGTTTGGATCATATTGGTACTTCCCACCCAGGGCACCTCTTGTCCTTGCAGAGGGAAGCTGTCCCACTGGGCTCCTCACTTCCTTCCCCATTCCTGAAGCAACAATCCTGGAGGTTCAGAAGTTGGGGCCCCAAGGTTGACCTGACTGTCCCGGGGAGAAAAGCCTCAACTGGTTTCCTAATTACCCCATGACAGCGGGCAGCGGAGGCATGCCTCTGTGAGGCGCCATGGGCTGCACATGAGTCAGCCCTGGAGAATCTGCTCCCACCCTTTCCCATTCCTCAGAAGGGAGGGCAAGGTTAATCCCCCAGCGAGCACCCCTGCCCTTCTGTGGAAGCTAAGGCTTCACCTCGCTTGTCAGCTACTGCCCCAGAAAGCCCATCTCTGGTAGGCATGTGCAGGAATTGTGGATGATTTTCTGGTTTCTGCTTATTCCACAGACCTAGATGTTGAGTCTTGGGAACTGGGGAAGGAGTGAAAACACCTTGTACATGCAGCAGTGGCTCTTGGGAAGACCCAACATTCTCTGGGTTTGATATTCACTTATTTAGGTCGTCTTAGGCACTCATCTGTGGGGCCTCAGCTTCCCCAGCTATAAAATGGGTACAACAGTGACCATATTCTGGTATTTCAGAGCATGACAGTGCCTGGTCTAAACAGATGAAAGAGCAAATTTAGGGTTGCTGAAGGTCAGGTGAAGGGAAGAGGAGTCTGAGGAAGAGGAGAGGGGTTGCCAGAATTCTCTTCTGCTCGTCAGTACAGAAATGGGGCTTGGGATTTGGGCTGACACTCATTTCCAGTCTTGGGAAGGGGAAGAAACACCTAAACTGGACACCTGAGGTTGCCTCCCAGCATGCAGGCATCAGGTCTGGCCTGGCGCTTAGCTAACCCCTCCTACCACAACCCAGCTGAGAGGGACTCCTTGTCCACATAATAGCTAGAGGGCTTTCGTGGTAGCAAAGGGCTGTGGGAGCACAGGACAGAGTCTGCCCCCCAGAACTTTGAGAGAGGGAAGGAATGAGAATGAGGCCCAGGAATGAGGATTTGGGGATGAAAAGAACCATTTTTGGATGCAAGAATGTATACCTACCCACCCAGGGCTGCCTGGCATCTTTTGTCCTTGGAGGCAGGACTGTTCTTCCCCAACTGCTGTGTCTCTCCTCATCCTGTTCTCCTCTCCAAGCCAGGGCCTGGGTGAACAGTCCGGGAGGCATCCGGACTCCCCAGGGGCGGGGGAAGGGAAAGCCAAGTGGGGAGGGACTATGAGGTGCAGGGGAAAGGGAGTATGGTCTACTATCAATGCTGTGCGATTTTGTTACAGCCCCTGTCCCTCTCTGAACCTCATTTCCCCTAGCTGTCGAGCGAATCGAACAGACTCCGGGTTCCGGGTTCCTTCCAGCCGCGAGGACCTCAGGATAGAGACCCCAGCCACCCCCCCCCCCCCCCCCCCCAGCGACCTCTCACCTGCACGATCTGCCGGGGCTGCACGCTCAGCGTTGGAAAGTTGCCGCGCCCGTGAATGGGGATTGGCTCGCTCAGGAGCGCGTCCAGCCGCTTCACCTGCGGCCAGCCTAGCCCACTCAGGTGCGGTCCGAGGGAGGCTGATGCGGCTCCCGGGTCGGGGCCGCCGCTTGCCTGGGTGGCCGTGGCCACCGCCGAGGCTGCAGCCGTCCCTACCAGCGCAGCCGCCCGGTCCGAGCGCTCCACTCCGTTCTCCGGCATCATTAGCCCGGCCCGGGACCCCGACGGCAGAAACCCGGGATGGTTAAGGGGAGGAGGGCGAGGAGAGCGGATGAGCCGGGTCCCAGGCGGGAGGCGCGGCTGCAGGGACCGCACGGCAGCGACGGCGAGGCAACCCCAGGGCACACCTGTGACAGCGGCGACCTACCGACCCTAAAGCTCGTTGCTTCGGGCCCAGTTGACTTTTATAGGCCGCGGGCGACATGCCCATTGGTCCAGGTAGCTGTCACACAGCGGGAGCATCTCTCGACAACCCTACCATTGGTCAGAAGAGTCATGGAGATTCTGATTGGCTGGAAGGCACTCCTCCGCCCTGCCCTCCTTCTCGGCTGAATTCCCTGCTTTGGTCCTTCAAGAACTTCTGTTCTCGGTGATTGGCCCCAGCGGAGCCGGCCCTGACCCTGGACTTAAAGGGATTGCGCTCTCTAAGGGCGGACGGGAGGGAGTTCGCGGTGGTTCGTAGCGGAGCCCGACCACTAATGTTCCAGGTGTTTCTGTTTGTTTTTGGCGCTGGAAGGAATTTAGACATCACCTGGCCTGGTCCTAGTCAGAAGCCCAGAGAGATCGCGCTATTTGTCCAACTCTGCACAGCGCGCCTCTGCTTTCCACCGGTGCAATCTTCCACCGTCGGAGAAAGGTAACAAACTCAGACTACACCGAGGTAGGGATTGTTAACGCACTCTCTTGATTGTCCCTTGTCAGTCAAGAGAGTGCGTTACAGCCTGGCCAGCCTTAAAGTCCAAGTTCAGAGAAGGGGAAACACTGCTTGGAGAAGGGAGGTACCTGCCTGACTCCCCAAGGCCACACAGCACCGAACAAGTCGGGCCTTTGTGCTGGCTCTGGGACGGAGAATCTGTGGGCGCGTGCGCATTCCACTACACTTGCACAAACCCAGGGCCTTTATGGAGGATGGAAGGAAGCTGGAACGGGGAGGTTGGTTTTCCTGACCCAGCGTCTCAGGCCCTTCTGCAGCGGCTTCTTGGTGGCTGGCAGAAATCTCTCCTGCCAGCCTGTTCTCAGCCTTCTCAGGTCCTGTGCTTCCTTAAGCAAGTCACTAACCCCCCTCAGTCAGTTCCTCATCTGCCCCAGAGAAGGTGGTCAGTAACTATTTTTGAAGTTTTGATTTATATATAGTTGGCCAAAGATTATTTCAATATGACCTGTGAAAATATATAAGACGAAAAGAGAAAAAAGAAAAAATATAAGACATTTCAGATAGTGCTAAGAAGAAAATAAAATAGGGTAATGAAGAAGGAGCAACCATGTATGTATGTGAAAAAAGAGAGAGATAGTGAGTGAGAAAGATAACTGGGGAGATCGATTACATCATTAGATGGTGTAATCATGGAAGGCCTCCTTAATGAGGTGACATTCCCATTGCTTCTGCTGGACTGACTTCTGCCCTATCTCCCCCCTGCTTGTTCCTAGACAGTCAGGGCAGCAGAGAAGGTGCTAAGCCACACATTCCTAGAACCTTGAAAGCTCAAGATGGGAGGTCTTTTGACAGTCATTTTGTTCACCCTCTTTGCACTTTATAAATGGGAAAATTGGGGTCCAGAATGCAGAAGGGATTTTCCCCAGGAAGACTGGATGGGGCTGGAACTACATAGGGGCAGGGCCTTGTGAGAGTGGCCTGGTGCTGTGACCACCCCACACATTTGAATCAAGTTCTCTAAGGAAAGGCACAGATTTCTTTTCCTCTTTCCTTCTATCGGCACTAGGAAGAGCAATTAACAAATTCATGTACTGTCAATCGCCATACTGTAGACACCTCTGTTCCCAAAGGTAATTGGTCCAATGTTTGCCCAATCACAGGACATAAACATCATTGTGATGGGAGTGGGGTGACTTGAGGTTATAGGAAGAGGAGAGAGAAGATGACAGAGAAGGGGTGGGAGAGAGAGAAGGGGTATACTCAATAGAGTTTTTCTTTTTCACCAAAAATAAAATTTAATTGTCCTAATGAATGGCTGGGTTACATACACTCTGAAAAGTCCAACTGGCTTTCAAATGTTATATATGAGTCTTTCTCCCCTGTACAAATTTCACATATTCATTCTTTGATTGATTTTAAAAGGGAACTTAGTTTCTATGATCTTTGAGTCTTTGTGACATGAGTAAGACACTTTCCCTATCTGGACCTGTTTCCTATTTTGTAAAATGGGAATGAAATAGGAGTCAGTCTCTTCCATTCACACCTTCTATGATTTAAGGTAGTTGGAAGGGAAAAGGAGTTCTGGGGAGAGTCTTGGTCCCTACATTGCCTCCTCCTCAGCTTTGGGTTGCCAAACAAGAGCTTGGAATCACACTAGGCACTAAACTTTTTTAAAAAATATTTTTTTACTGATTTCAGAGAGGAAGGGAGAGGAGATAGAAACATCAATGATGGGAGAGAATCATTGATCAGCTGCCTCATGCATGCTCCCTACTGAGGATCAAGCCCGCAACCCCGGCATGTGCCCTTGACCGGAAGTGAACCCAGGACCCTTCAGTCCGCAGGCCGATGCTCTAACCACTGAACCAAACCAGCTAGGGCAAGGCACTAAACTTTTGACACAGGAGCGGTCTCTCACTTCACCCGTATAAACTGTACAAGTCAATATTGATTTGTATACTCACGGAGTTATTCAACCAATGCCATAATTGATTTTAGAACATTTTTATCACCCCCTATGGAAACCATGTCCCCTTTAGCAGTCACTCCCCCATTTTTTCCCAACCCCCTCAGCTCACAGTCCTAGGCAACCACTAAACTATTTTCTGTCTCTATGTAGATTGGCCTATTCTGAACATTTCATATACATGGAATCATATAATATGTGGTCTTTGCAGTTTGTCTTTTTTACTCAGCATAATGTTTTCAAGGTTCATCTATGTTGTAGCATGTATTAGTATTTCATTTTTTCTTGATCTGTTCATTGGGTCATTATCGCCTACACTCAGGGCGGCTTAAAAGTCGATGCCAACATGTAGTCAGCACTCAATCATGCTTGCCCTCACAGAAACAGGGCTAATTGGCTAATTTGGAGCAAGATTCAGACAAGTGGTGTTTTTTCTTTCTTTTTTTTTCTTTTCTTTTTTCAGCACAGGAAGGGTGTAGAGCAGCGGTTCTCAACCTGTGGGTCGCGACCCTTTTGGCGGTCGAACGACCCTTTCACAGGGGTCGCATAAGACCATCCTGCATATCAGATATTTACATTACGATTCATAACAGCAGCAACATTACAGTTATGAAGTAGCAATGAAAATAATTTTATGGTTGGGTCACAACATGAGGAACTGTATTTCAAGGGCCAGAAGGTTGAGAACCACTGGTGTAGAGAGAAGGAGATCATAGAGAATGAAGCTCTGAGAGAGAATCAGAGGGCTCAGGGCAAACTCTGAAGGACAGAGAGGGACAGCAGAGGGTAGAGCTGTGAGCAGGGCACTCCTGGGTTTCACCTCACTCAGGTTCCAGGCAGTTCACAGGGCCCCTCCCTGTCCCCCAGCTCCTCTGAGCCTGTGCAACCCTGTGGGGAGGCAGGTGGAGATGACTGATGATTAAGCCCATTTCATGGGTGAGGAAACTGAGGCTTAGGAAGGGGTGATATATGTCTTTGTCTCATCTCCTCTGCTACAGTAGAAGCTTCTCAGGCTCAAGGGCTGCTCGCTCCTATTTTATCCCCTCAAGGCTGATGCCAATAAAAACAGGAGTGCCTGCTCATCAGTGATTCCCAGTCCCAGCAGACCCCACCTCTCTTTTTAACAAGTATCTTGCAATATCTTCTTCCTTGTAATGAAATGCAATTCACAGATAATAGATACTAATTATACACTCCTAATATTTTTTGGAGGGGAAATGAAGATAATGCTATAACTGAAATGTAAAGAAGAAAAAGGAGGATAATCTGTCTTTTTATGGCTTATTTTTTCATTGAGATATAATTGACATATAATGTGTTTCAGGTGTACAATGATTCCATATTTGTATATATTGTGAAATGATCACCACAATACGTCTAGTTATCTCTCACCATAGAGTTACAATTTTTCTTGTGATAGAGAACTTTTAAGATCTGTTTTCTTAGCAACTTTCAAATATGCAATACAGTAATGTTAACTATAGTCACCATGCTGTACATTACATCTCCAGGACTTATTTATTTTATAATTGGAAGTTTTGTAATGCCTTTTACTTATTTACTAGAGGCCTGGTGCACAACATTTGTGAACTGGGGGGTGGGGGTGGGGAAGTGGAGGGTGAGTACGGGAGCCTTCAGGGGATGTCCGACTGACAGCTTAGGCCTGTTCCCTGCAAGGAGCTTGCCTAAGCCACAGACATCCTTAGTGCTGAGGCAGGAGAGGCTCCCACCACTTCTGCCCTGCTTGCCATCAGCTGGGCCTGTGGCTGAGCGGTGCTCCCCCTGTGGGAGTGCTCCTGCATTGAGCGTCTGCCCCATGGTGGTCAGTGAGCATCATAGCAACTGGTGTTCTGCCATTCAGTCGATTTGCATATTACCCTTTTATTACATAGGATTTTTAAACCTGTAAGTGCATACATAGGCCGACCAACCTCTTATAGAATAGGGCTTCTCAATTGGAATGTGCATAGGAGTCACCTGGGGAGCTTGTTAAAATACAGATTATGAATCAGCAGGTCTGGGAAGCACCTGAGTCTGCGTCTCTAACCAGCTCCCAGGTGTTGTTCCGCTGCCGATACAAAGGCTGCAGAAGTAGGCATCTCATTCCCTGAGCCCACAGCCACCCGCTTCCCCAGGACCAAGCAAGGGGCAGCCCTGTCTGGGGCTTCCCCAATGGCTGCCCAGGAAACTGCCTGCCCTGCAACCCAGCCTCATTCCTGGCTGGGCGCCTGCTGCCGAAACAGCAGTTCCCACGGAGGAGCCCGCCCTGGGGAATGAGCCTCGGGGGAGGGAGGGAGGCCGGGAATTGAATTGACGTCCGAGTGGGTGGGGCTTCTGTGACCTGCTCCCCCTCACGCCAGCCCCACCCTCCTCCCTACTACTGCTTGGTCAGTAAATCCCAGTGCTCCACCCACCCTCCCATCCCTTTTCTCCCAGTGGTCCCTTCTGTTTTCCCTCAGTCTGGGCTGGGCCCCTGCGGTGGGGAGCCCAGATGACACTCAGTCTAGGTAGGGGCCAGCAGATAGGCAAACAGACACCTTTTATCTTTAAGCAGTTTTCTGTCAAAGGAGGTGGGTAGGAGGGAACTCACTTCTAGCTTCCTGGGGCAAATCCTTCTCTTGTCTGGGCTAACATAAAGGGGTGGGATCTGAGGATTCCCAAGGCCGGTCCAGCTCTAAAGCCCGGATCCCTTGATAGCGGTGAGGATTTTTCCAACCTTGAGGCAGAGAGGCCATCACAGTCCTTAACTTTGGATGTTAGAGCTGGAAGGCTAAGTCTCTCACTATATAGTCGTGCACCAAATGATGAGGTTGGGTCACCTATGGACCACATACATATACGATGGTGGTCCCATAAGATTATACTGGAGCTGAAAAGTTCATATTGCATAGTGATGTCTTAGCCTTGTAGCATGCTGACTTTGCAGAGCAACGCATTACACACTTACTTACCATTGTGTTATAATTGCCTACAGTCTTCAGTACAGTAACGTGCTATACAGGTTTATAGCCTGAGAGCTGTAGGGAAGCAGAATTTGTCATCCTCAAATATGTCTCTTTGGCATAGGGTTACTTTAGGCTGCTTAATTTTAAGGAGAACAGACAGGGAGAAGCTCTGAAAACCAAGTAGAGGTTACACCCTTCGTAAGGTATTGACTTTCGTAAGGAAAATATCCATTTGTGTCTCCCTTGCTGTACCTGGAAGTGGGCGTTGGGGTGACCTTTCCTCTAGTAACTCATATCAATTTAGAAGGCCAAGACTGAAATCTGCATAATAACCTTACTGTGCTTTTCCTGGTAGCCGCCCAGAGCTGGCTCCATCCTCAACACCTTTTATCTTCAGCTGGAAATAATATTTAAGGTGGTGGCTTCAGCCATTTGGGCCAGTTACAGAATTTTCCTGGATCCCGCCCATATATACAGGAGGTATACATATTATTAAACTTTTGTTTGTTTTTCTCTTGTCAATCTGTCTCTCATTAGAGGATATCTCAGCCAAGAACCCAGAAGCATAGAGGGAAAATTATTTTTCCTTCCCTACAGAGCAAGAGGCTAGAGGCAGCTAGACCATATCTATAGCATCTAGGTTTGTGTAAATACACTCTGTGATGTTCGCACAGCGCAATTGCCTAACAACCTATTTCTCAGACTGTATCCCATCATAAACTGGCACAAGACTTTATAAATGGGGAAACTGAGACCCAGTGAGAGGAAGGGTCTTGCCTCAGCCCATAAGCCAGATAAGGTCCTAGCCTTCACCTCCCATGCGCTCTCAGATTAAGTTCCTGGGCTTTCACAGCTCCCTGTCTTCCTGGGGACCTGGAGGCTACTTGGAGATAGTGGGGAGGGGGGGTTTAAGGCAAGAATCCTCCAAATCAAACAGGAAGCCCAGCAGGGACAGGCAGGGTTTAGGGCCTTAGAACAGAGTCTTTGCTTCTAGGCGTCATTTCCTAAGACGGGATGTGCCGCCACTAAAGCAAGGAGGAGATGATGATGGGCTTTATTTGGTTTTGTTTTCGTGGTTTGCTCTCCAGGCAGGAGCTCAAGCCCCAACTGCAGAGGCGAACAACGGTGCTGAGCCAAGCCGGCTCCTGGCCGGCTCCCCTTTGGGCTCAAGGATTAGGCTTGTCATGATTCCAGGGCTGAGCCAGGGCCTGTGTCAGGCACAGATGGAGGTGAGAGTTTTTTCTGTGGCCCAATCAGTGTCCAACCCAGAAGCTGGGTGGGGCTCTCACTGGGCTTGGGTGGAGATCTTTGTCACCAGGCTCAGACCAGTCTATGACCAAGGTCAGGGCTCATCCTGGGATCAGGAACAGGGAGAAGCAGCCTTTGGTCCCTCCCAGGACAGACCCACCTCATGATTCCAACTTCAGGAAGGTGCGTCAGGCTGCTGGGCGGAGAGCCACAGGCCTAAGGCTCCTGGACGACTGCAGAGTCTCTGGTGAAGGTGATGCTCCTGAGCTGATGCCCAGAGCTCCTGGTCCACCATCAGGTGTGTCTTCGGGGATGTGACCTCCGACCTCCCCTGCAGGCCCTCACCCGAGGACCTGCCCTCCAGAACAGTGTCGCGTGTCACCTCTGACACGCGTGCCATAGGTTCGCCATCACTGTTCTAGAACTATGCACACGTTGACTGGCTCCTTCCATTGGCCCTGCTCCAGGCTCTGGTGGGGATCAAGGTCTCAGAGTCCCCAGGGCTCTGTCCGGCCATATGCTGATGAACCTGCTGGGAAAAATATGCTGGGAAAAATAGCCCAAAGCCCTCCACTGTGGCTGGTTTCAAGTTGCCCACCTACATTCTGAAGAGATTCACAGAATCGGCTCTTTCAAGCTGGTGGGCTCGAGCTCTGGCTCTGACCCAGGGCAGTCCCATTGCCTTCCACAGGCCCAGGAAGGGACTGGGGCCCTGCCAACTCTCATGGTCAGGGTGCCCTTGAGGCTTTCCTATCCTGTCCTTGTGTCTGTTGGTGTGAGGTGAGGGTGATTATGATGTGGCTGTAGTTGACTTTGTGACTGTGATTGTGAAGACTGAGGCTTCAGTTGCTACCACTGGCCTCTTCTCAGTGACCAGGGAAGTGTCAGTCAAGGAAGTGCCACTGTTTCCCTAGGGCCGTGGTCGGCAAACTGCGGCTCACGAGCCACATGTGGCTCTTTGGCCCCTTGAGTGTGGCTCTTCCTAAGCCTAAGGAATACCCTAATTAAGTTAATAACAATGTACCTACCTATATAGTTTAAGTTTAAAAAATTTGGCTCTCAAAAGAAATTTCAATCGTTGTACTGTTGATATTTGGCTCTGTTGACTAATGAGTTTGCCGACCACGGCCCTAGGGAAACTGCCAGGAGGTACCCAGGAGAATGAGGGCCGATTAGGGCTGGGCTCCTCAGGGCTCTATCATAGCTCTATCCAGGACAGCGGAAACCCAATGTGGCCTAAAGGACACATGTCCTGCCACTTTCCGCCTCCCCCTTGCAGTGATGACTTGGTGAGGACACAGGAACCCAGTGTGGGGGGAGCCCTCACCTTACCACCACTGAATCTGTACACCTGCCCACACTGTGCCCATCTTCTACTTCCTGATTCATTCCTGAGGATGAGTTCCTCCTCTTATCAAAGGACAGCCCTTACTGATAATAAAATGCCACTTTAAAAAATATTTTTAATATATATTTATTTATTTCAGAAAGGAAGGGAGAGGGAGAGAGAGATAGAAACATCAATGCTGAGAATCATTGATTGGCTGCCTCCTGCACGCCCCCTATGGGGGATTGAACCCACAACTCGGGCATGCATGCGCCTTGACTGGAGTTGGACCTGGGACCCTTCAGTTTGCAGGCCGAGGCTCTATCCTCTGAGCTAAACAGGCTAAGGCTAAAATGCCACTTCTTTATCCAGTTGACTTTAACCTCATCTCCTCCTCCCACCCCTGGCCCTCATGCTCCAGCAACACTGCCACTTCTCTTGGCCACAAGCTTATTCTTGCCGCAGCGACATGGAGCCCAGCTTGCCTAGAACTTGGCTGGCTGCTCATTCTCCCAGCTTTAACGTGAAGAGTGCTTCCCTGAATCCACTCTTAAGGGGCTCCCCGAGTCCCTCGCCATCGCATCCTCCTTGTGCTTCCAGCCCCCCCTTGTCTGCTTGTTTGTTACTAGAGTGTCTTCCCCTCTAGATTGTAAGCTCCATGGGGTAGGGCCCTCATTCTCTGCTCTAATGGGTACCCGGTTGGTGCTAAATAAGTGGACATGGAATAAGTGAAGGGATGTCTGTGCCTCTTTCCCCTTTGGTCTCCCTGGGCCACTGATAGCATCTTGGTTGAATGTCAGGTTCCTGCTCTACACTGGGTTATAAAGGGAAGGGGCAGTGTCCCCTCTGCTCTTGACTAGAGTGTGAAAGATGGACCAGTGCCCACAGGGGCACTTGTGGTGGGGACAGCAGAAGCCCCTGGGTGATCACAGTGGACTTTGGGTCTTGCCAGGGCTGAAAGGTCTGGCTGCCCCCAACCTTGGTTTGGTTTTAATAAAGAAGGCAGCTTCTCTTTCAGCTTTATTCCACCATCACCACCAGGCATCCTTACTGCGTGGGTTTTTGTTGGCTTCTGGCTGCCCTGCAGTCAAATCCCCTTTCTTTTTAGGGAGAAGCCCCCACTGTGTGAACCTTTGGACATCACAGCCCCACTGCCTACTACTGAAGCTGGGAGGGACCACAGACCCCTCCTCCCACACTCTCGCAGATAGGACAGGGCACCCAACCTGGGCTCTGCCAAGTGGATGCTTCAGCCCAGGCCTTTGAATCTTGAGTGAGTGATGCAAAGGCAGGAGGGTTTAGAATTTGCTCAGAAAGGTGGCCTTTGGTAGCAGCGATAAATGTGGTGTCTGATGGTGACTGTCGTGTCCAGGTGTTATGCAGTGGGGTTTGGTCTGTCCATTGCTGTCACTTTCTTTGCTCCTGCGCTTTGTGTGAGCCAGGATCTCTGGGCTTTGTGACCATCCTCAGAGCTCCCCAATATCTTTTTTCTCTTCATCAGTCAGCTACAGTCAGATTCTATTGCTGCACTCAAGACTTTTGTTACCGCCTGCCTCTACCACCAGACATTGTCATTATCACCATTTCCATCAGTCCCAAGATCCAACATCCATCAAACTAGCCCCATAATCCTCACCAGACACCATAATCCTCACCATCATCTTCCATGTCACCATAGTTGTAACCTCAAGCACTGACAGCTTTAACCAGGGGTCCTCAAACTACGGCCCGCGGGCCACATGCAAATACAAATATTGTATTTGTTCCCGTTTTGTTTTTTTACTTCAAAATAAGATATGTGCAGTGTGCATAGGAATTTGTTCATAGTTTTTTTTTAAACTATAGTCCGGCCCTCCAATGGTCTGAGGGACAGTGAACTGGCCCCCTGTTTAAAAAATTTGAGGACCCCCTGGCTTTAACCATTAGGCTCTCAAACTGTATTTGTCAGGGATTAGGGCAGGAAACAGAAACCTCCCTTGGTCTTTTTAGCAGGAAGGTATTCAATATCGGACAATTGTTGGAGAGGCTCAGTGACCACGCCCCCAGGAATGACTCCTAGAACTCTACACAACTGACGCACCAAGAGAGCCACTATTTCTGGAACTGGGCTGTGAATTCAAGAAGCTTCAATCCAGGGGTCAGGGAGCTGCATTTAAGAAACTGCTTTCACCACTGCCACGGCCTCTGGGCCATCTGGAAGCTGGAGAGAATGCCGGACACCTGACACCAGAGAGCTGCTGCACAAACACCTCCTGTTCTTGCAGCCTTGCTAGCGGGCAGGAACAGCCAAAAGGGGGCAGGAAAAAGATGAAATAAATTTAAAAAACAATAATAGCAACAACAACCAACACTTACATAGTGCTTATTATGTGGCAGGTACTGTCCTATTGTGTCCCTATTTTATAAATGAAGCACAGAAACGACTGAGTCTCACTTTAGCTCCCAGTCTTGCCTGCGTGAATCTAATTTGCCTGTTCCACGTGCAAATGCTGCGAGGGAGGGAACTGTATTTGTTGGCTTTCCAACCTCCCCATCTAGGAGGGTGGAATGGAAGCTGAGAGCCCGGCCACAGGGTCATCACTGCCGCTGTCACCTCTCCATCAATGCTAGGATCTGCCACCAGCATTATCCATCACCTTAACCACCACCAAGTCAATTACCGGTCCCGTCGCCTCCTCCACCGACATCAAGATCTGACAGAGCTGTCATCTTTCCATCACTTGACAACGTCACCATCAATGTCATTACCACCACTGCCGTGATTATCCCCATTACCTCCAGCCCCAGCAGCAGGGTGGTGTCAAGGGACCAATGAAGTCACTTCCTCGCCTTGGCTCTCCCAGAGCTAATTGCTTAATGAGATGGTTGTAGCTCTGAGCTATTAGTTACAAGCCTGGGATGGTTCATACATGGGAGGGGTCTTCAGCTGTGAGTGTGAGTGAGAAGGTCCAAGATAGGCCTCATCCATCCCCCTGCTTTTGTGGTGGAGAAAAGCAACATACAGTGGGGCCTTTTCGAGTGTCCTGACTAATGAGTTTTTCGAGATACGAGTCGTCACTCAGCCGATTTTTTGCTTTGAGTTGCGAGCTAAAATTTGCGTTACGAGCCAGCTTCAGATACCCCACCGCTCGTTGGCGCAGCGAACGTCACAGTGAACGCCACAACATCAGCCCAGCATTCAATTCATTGTGATGGTGAAAATTGATTTGACATACGAGTAATTTGAGTTATGAGCTCCGTCACGGAACGAATTAAACTCGTAAGTCAAGGCCCCACTGTAGTGTAGTACAGTACAGAGGGCTGCTAGTCAGCTTAGGTCAGCTCAGACAAGTGGCTTCACCTGGGTCTCGGTTTCTTCATCTGTAAAATGGAAATTATAAGAACTATCTTGCCGAAACCGGTTTGGCTCAGTGGATAGAGCGTCGGCCTGCGGACTAAAAGGTCCTGGGTTCGATTCCGGTCAAGGGCATGTACCTGGGTTGCGGGCACATCCCCAGTAGGGGTGTGCAGGAGGCAGCTGATTGATGTTTCTCTCTCATCGATGTTTCCAACTCTCTATCTCTCTCCCTTCCTCTCTGTAAAAAATCAATAAAATATATTAAAAAAAAAAAAAAAGAACTATCTTATACAGCAGTGATTCTCAGCCTTGGCTGTACATTAGAATCACCTGGGAATCTTTTTAAAATCCTGATTTCTGGGTCTCATCCTCCGGAAATTCTGTTTCTTTGTTATGGGCTGGGGCCACAACATTAGTAACAAAGAAACAGAATTTCTGGAGGATGAGACCCAGAAATCAGGATTTTAAAAAGATTCCCAGGTGATTCTAATGCGCAGCCAAGGTCGAGAACCACTGTTATAGAGGAATGTGGAGATTAACGGTAATGTAAATAAAGAAGCTGCTACAGTTCTCAGTGCCCAGGAGCCTCTCAAATGGAAGTCGCTAATATCTTTTATTTATTTTATAAAATGCTTATACAGGGTGGTGTAAAAGTAGGTCTACAGTTATGACTACACAAAACAGATAATTCTTGTATTATTATTTATTAATTATTGTACTATTTTCCATACGAACAACTGTAAATCTATTTCTGTCCCACCCTGTTTAGTGCTCACTTTGTGCCAGGCATTATTCTGAGCACTTTACACTTTTCAGTTCATCAACTGGCACTTCCTGAGAACCCTAAGGGAGAGGTACCCATGTTACAGATGAGGAAACGGGCACAGAGAGGTAAAGGAGCTTACCTAAGTTTGCACAGCTGGTTAGTGACGGAGCTGGGATTTTAACACAGGGAGTCTAGCTGAAGTCTGAGCGAGAAGTGGTTGGACTTGGGATGGACAGGGTAGAGCCAACAGGACATACATATGGATTGGCTGAGACAGGGAGAGATGCCACATGGATAAGGCCTGTGAATCGAACTCCTGGCTTTTATATGATTATTTGATTACTTTCTGTTTGAAGAGTCCTTGGTTAGTCTGTGTTTTTTTTTTAAACTTTTTGTTGTTGTTAATCCTCACCCGAGGATATTTTTCCATTTATTTATATTGTTTAAATTTAAATTCTTTATTGTTTAAAGTATTACATATGTCTCCTTTTCCCCCCATTGACCTCTCCCTGGTCCATTTAATTTTAGTGAGAGTGGAAGGGAGGAGGAGAGACAGAGAGAAACATTGATGTGTCTCACATTGATTGGTTGCTTCCTGCACTCGCCCTGACCAGGGCGGGGAATGGTGCCCTTGACCGGAATCGAACCCTGAATGCTTTAATCTGAGGGCCAGTGCTCCATCCACTGAGCCAAACCGGCTAGGGTGGTTGGTCTATTTTTGCTCACTGCACTTAGTAGAGTGCCCTGCACACGGTAGCTGCTTTGTGACTGTTTGTTGAGTGACTGAATGAAAGACATGTGGCACTTGGTAGAACTTGGCCCCTGGTCTTCCAGCTCCATGCCCAGTGCCTTTTCTTTCCTGCCAGGGTTTTGGTGAGGATCAGAAGAGATAGGGGCTTTGCAAGGGCTTTGCAAGTAGCAAAACGGAGCCCACGGGTTGGTCATTACCAAATAGCAGCTCAATAAACTCAACTCAGAGTCAGCGTAGCCTCTGGCCTGCTCTGCCTGCAAGGTGGACACCCGGCCAAGCCAGCCTGGCACATCCTCCCCTGGGGAGCAACCCTCCCCGCCAGAGTCCAAGCTTGGCATAGCTGTGCGTAACCGGGGGCCCACGTGCCCCTGTTGGTGCCCTTCAGAACCTAGGGGCCTGAGCCAGCCCCTCGCCCCTCAGGTGATGCAAAGCAGATGTGAAGGGACTAGGACTCCATGAAGGTACCTTTCCTTTTCCTGGCAGCTCGGCAGGCCTCACTCCAGGGGATTCCTTTGGCAGAGCTCTCCTTCCCCTGGGCCAGCGTCGTGGGGAAGGAGTCAGCTGGATGCTGACTTCCTGGGACCTTCACCCTACCTCATCGGTGCCCTGGGGCCAGTGCCTGCCCTGCCCTGAGGTCCAAGGTCTCCATCCCAGGCATTGGGGGTGAGAGTTATCCTTGGTGCTGCTGTGCAGGTTTGTTGAGGTTGAATTGGGGCCTCTTGTGATGCTCTCTCCTTGCCCCTCTACATTTTTCTCTCCCAGCCCTTAACCCAGTTCCTAACTCTGTGTTTACTTGTATGGTTAACTACTTGATGTCTGCTCTCTGGGTGCAGGGACAGTGTCAGGAGATACCCAGGGCCCAACACTGTGCTGGTTTGTCCAGGAGGCACTCAGGAAATGTCCAATGAATAAATGACAGTGCTCTGTAAAGTATAAACAAGGGTGATGGAAATGCTGAACTGTGACAAGTGTACAATAACTGGAGTCCGCCAGCGCATGACTGTGGCTGGGTGGGGTGTAATCTGAACAGCCTCCTCCCCACTCTGTCCCACCCCACCCCTAACCCCAGGACTTGGTAAGATTGAAAATAACAATAATAACAGCAGCTGTTTCACCCATACTACCTCATTTTAATCTGCACAACAAAATCACGAGGTACTGGCATTATTCCCATTGTAGAGATTTGCAAATTGAGGTTCAGGGAGTTCAAGGAATTTGCCCATCTATAATAATAAAAGAGTAATATGCAATCAGACCAGATGACCTTCTGGGCGAAGCTGCGGTGGCGGGGGGGGGGGGGGGCAAGCCCTTTGCACGAATTTTGTGCATCAGGCCTCTAGTAGTTAATAAATGGTGGGGCTGAGACTCAAACCCAGATTTATCTGAGGTCATGATCCTTCAGATGGTTAGCAAGGACACTCTCCTGCTCTTCTCCTCACCTTTAAACTTTTAAATCTTCCCCCATATTCATCTTGCCTTCTTCAGACTCCCTGCTCCATCCTCAGCCACTTTCAGCAGGGTCCTCTCAGAGCCTCAGAGTGTCCATCTGTAAAATGGACACACTAATCTCTGTCCATTTTGTATCAAAGGTCCATGAAGATGCTCTCTGTACATGGTCAAGGGCTGGGTCAGGTGAGGCAGAGGTAGTGGAAGACACTGCAGGGATCTACCCAAGGCCACCTGAGGCAGAGTGAGTGTGAGTGTGTGTATGTGAGGGTGTGGGTGAGTGTGAGTGTAGACCCGTCTCCAGGAAACTCTTGGAGGTCAAGAAAAGTTTCCTCTGCTTCCCATGTTAAGGCTTCCAGTTTATTAAATAAAAAAAAGTAAAAAGTGTTGCATAATACATGTTATATTTTAAGTGTTTACACTTAAACGAATGCTTTTAATACACACAAACACAATGCAATATAATTGCGCTATTCACAGGATAATTACAGGATTTATAGAAAATATTAATTCATGCTGCACTGTGGGAGGTGTGGTTGGGTGATGAGACACAGTTTCAAGTTGTCTAATGAGCGGCTCTGTGCTTGTCTCCATCGCGCACCTTTGTCACTACGCGTTGTATCCTCATTTGGGCATCCCAGTGGCCGGTAAGACCCTGCGCCATCTGGCTCCCTCCTCCAGCCCCCACCCCCTAAGTTTCTTCACTGCTCCTTGAACCAGAGCAGGCACAATCTTGCCCCCGGGCATTTGCACGTGCTTTCCCCTTTGCCTGGACACTCCTCCCTCAGATATCCTCATGGCTTACTCCTACCACATCTCTGGTCTCCTTGCACCATCCTATTTAAAATTGCAAACCATTCCCACCGTCCCTATTTCCCTGTTTATCTTTAATTTATTAGCCCTAGGACTTTTCAGTATCTCGTACACCACACACATGCACACACACAAACTCACACACTGTATTGGTTTATTTGCGGCCTCCCCAGGGCGTCTAACAGCCGAAACATAGGAGCTGCTTAATAAACATTTGTTGGAGGAAAGGATGAATGACTGGTGTCTAAGTCTCCATCCTGTACCCTCCGTGTGAGGCCCATCCCAGTTCTTTGACCTGGCTCCATGCATTGTAGGATGAAGCTCCTTCATCTCATGGGGGTCGGATGCTTGGACCCCAAGGAGTCTCCTGATGCTGCCATCTCAGAGGTGCTGACTTAAGCCTGCTGGATGCTGTGGTCCCCTCAGCACTGGGTCTCAGACCATTTTCCGCTTGGATTCTGGGGCCCTGATACTGGCCGCTGGTGGTCATCCTCCTGAAGTTCATCTAGTGGTGGGGAGACCTCACAGTTACTGTGTACCAGGCTCTGTCTCGTTCCATTCTTATTCCCGTTCTGTGGATGAGGAATCTGAGGCATAGGCGAGGGAGGGATTGTTTCCAATGGCTCACTTGATGGCTTCCCTGCAAACCTCCCTTACTCCCTTTACGTTCCTCATTGAGGCTTAGAATTCGTGTGCACACCATGCAGGCCCTCCTCTCCAGGCACTTGCTCATGTGGCCTCTACCTGGAGTGTCTTTCCCCTACCTTCCTTCATAGTTCTCAGCTCTGCTGCCTCATCCCTCCCCAGGAAGCCTGCCATGAGGCCCTTTGGGCTCCCAAAGCTCCTTAGTTCCCTCTGGCAAAGCGCCGAGAGGAGATGAGGGTGGCAGGGTGGGGGGACAGGAACCACTTTTGCCCTCTATCAATCTGCCTTACGAGGCTGTCAGCACCTTCAGGGCAGGGACTAATTTGTGTTTAAAACCTTGTATTATTCATTGATTTATTACTTCACTCATGAATGTTTATTGGGACCTATTCTGTGTTCTGAGATCAAGTTAGAGCTCTGGAGACACACAGTGAAGAAGACAGACTAGGCCCCTACTCTCAGGAAGCCCACAGTCTTAGTGGGAGACTGGCACCTGACAAGTGAGTCAGGCCAGACAAACGGTGATTGGCGCTGTGGAAGGGATTAATGGGATCAAGACAGAGGATTACAGGAGCTACCAGTGCCCCATAGAAGGTCTGGCCCCCCAAACATACTGGAATAGAGCTGAAAGGTCCCAGGGCCAGCTGATATTTAGAGCAGGGCCACCTGCCTCACTGTCCCTCTCCTGTTCAGCGAGAAGCCCTTCTGGTCAGCTTCCTAGCTGTGTGGCCTTGGAAAACGCCTTCACCTCTCCGTGCCTCCGTTTCCTCATCTGTAAAATGGTATTAAGTGGTACCTACCTTTCAAGGCTGTTCCAAGAATTAGACATGCTAATGTCCTAAAAAGGGCTGAGCACTGAGCCTGGAATACAGTCAGTGCTCAATAAATGGGAAGGGAGAGGTGAGGATGAAGAGGCTGAAGACCAGGAATGTTGGAGAAGTGTTGGCTTGGCTCCCTCTGAACCTTGAACATACTAGTAGGGGCTCTGCTCAGCCTGGGTGGGCAGTTTCAGCAATGGCCACAAGGTGACGCCTGAATCCCAGTTATCAGGGAGTCAGCAATTCTTAGCTGATGAAACTGTTTGGGGGCCAGAGAAGCAGATGGACTCCTGTGGCTTGGGATGAGTTGGGGTTGGGGTGGGGACTTGAGGCTCCTTGAGATCCAGCCTCTCTCTCCCTTTGGTTTTCTCTTGGAGTTTCCCTGTTTGTTTCCAGGCACACCCGCCTTTCCCTTCAACTCCCCCAGCATCTGTGCCCAGGCTCCTGCTAAGTAAGTCCTGCTTTTTTTTTTTTAAAAAAATATATTTTATTGATTTTTTACAGAGAGGAAGGGAGAGGGATAGAGAGTTAGAAACATCAATGAGAGAGAAACATCAATCAGCTGCCTCCTGCACACCCCCTACTGGGCATGTGCCTGCAACCAAGGTACATGCCCTTGGCCTGAATCGAACCTGGGACCTTTCAGTCCGCAGGCTGATGCTCTATCCACTGAGCCAAACCGGTTACGGCAAGTCCTGCTTCTTGTCCACTTGATGAGGGGCCCCTCAGCCACCTACTCTTTCCTTCTCATTCATGAGCCAGGCAGGGAGAATGAACCAACACTTCCTGTGGGCCTGGCAGGGTGCAGAGCCAGAGGAAATGACCCTGTTCCTGTATGTAGCATCCTGGAGGTGGTGCGGGTGGGGGTTGGGTGGGGGGGAGGTGGGGGGGGGGAGGTAGGACTAGGAACTAAAAGAGGGAAATGGAAGACATGCAGTAGTTACTTAAGACTTCCTTCCCATCTGTATGTTCAACACATACGAAATATTATCCTCATTTCACAGATGTGGAAACTGAGTCCCAGGAGTGTTATATCCCATGTAGGTCCGCCCTGCTTCCTGTTCCGACCTTTCACCAGCAGTGAGGTGTGGTTCAAATTAATGATATTCACAAATTCATTCAACCGAGCTCTGCAGATCCAGAGAGAAGCAGAGCTGCCCCCTGCCCCGGGAGCTGGCATCCTGGAGGAAGAGGCTGGCAGGGCAGCTTGTCCTTGAAATCTGTGCTGGGCACAGTGGGGACCCAGAGAATGCTTTTGCTGGTGCTACCTGACAGGTGGGGGGCAGGAAGGGAAGGGAGGTGTGACTTCGTACATTTCTTGGGAACCAAGAACCTGCTCAAGTATAATTTTTAAAAAGGAAAACTCTTGGGCCCTAACCGGTTTGGCTCAGTGGATAGAGCATCGGCCTGGGGACTGAAGGGTCCCAGGTTTGATTCTGGTCAAGGGCACGTACCTTGGTTGCGGGCTCGATCCCCAGTAGGGGGCGTACAGGAGGCAGCTGATCCTGACCGACGTTTCTCTCTCATCAATATTTCTAACTTTCTATCCGTCTCCCTTTCTCTCTGTAAAAATCAATAAAAAAATATTTTTAAGGAAGGTAAAATCTTGGCCCTCATACAAATAAAAAGTAAACACATGTCAAAGATTTTCTTGAGCTCATTCAGCCAGCAAGATGCTGAAAACAGCATCTGGACAAAATTCCTTTGCACGGCTGTGAACAGTAACCACTTGTATTGTAATCTGTTTTGAACAAGCTACCTCTATTCCTATGGCGTTTTAAAGTCAGTCAAAGGTAATCAATCTTACGCACCTTTAAAGAATCGAATCATCATCAGCGGACGCCTAGCGGGGAAAGCCCTCCTCTGAAGGGAAAAGCAGGAATCTCTTTTTCCTTTTCCAAGGCTTTGCTCTGTTTTCTGGACTGACCCTCTGGGATAAATCAGGTAAATGCTGTTCCCGGAGAGAGACTCCTCCCGCATCCTTGTGACAGGCTCCCGGCTCTATAGGAGCTGGCCAGTCAGTGCCCGCCAGCAGGTGGCGCTGAGGCAAACCTCATCAGGGGCTGGGAGCTGAGGGGTAGCTCCCAATTTTCGACCATTGCCAGCCTCTAGGAGTTAGGTTTTATGATTTCACAATTTCTTTTTTTAAAAAAATATATTTCATTGATTTTTTTTTCTTTTTTTACAGAGAGGAAGAGAGAGGGGTAGAGAGTTAGAAACATCGATGAGAGAGACACATCGAGGTACATGCCCTTGACCGGAATCGAACCTGGGACCCTTCAGTCCGCAGGCTGATGCTCTACCCACTGAGCCAAACCATTTAGGGCTGGTTTCACAATTTCACAGTGCCGTTTCCCCGAATGGTTTCACCTGGAGTCATGAATTCATTCACCGATTCAGCCCCATCAATCATATTCCTGAGAGCCTCCGGACAGATTTATGAGTGTCAAAACATCAGTCCTTGTCTTTGTTGGCCTGGCTTTGCTGCCAGGACTCAGCCTAAATTCTGAAATCTCAGGGTCTCGCTCCACCCCTGCTCTGCCTACCAGTGTGTCACTGGAAAATGCACCTCATCAGAGGTTGAATAAAGGCATTACTCCTATAATCTCCTTATTTTTAAAATTTTATTTTTATTGATTTCAGAGAGGAAGGAAGAGGGAGAGAGCGATAGAAACATCAACGATGAGATAGAATCATCAATTGGCTGCCTCCTGCATGCCCTGCCCCCCACTGGGGATGGAGCCCACAACCTGGGCATGTGCACTGAGTGGGAATTGAACCATGACCTCCTGGTTCATAGGTCTACACTGAGCCATGCCGGGTCGGGCTATAATTTCATTATTCCTATTTTCCAGGTGGGAAAGCAGACTCCTCCTCTTCTGGGGCTGTCTTGGCTGAGTGTGCGGGAAGGCCGTGCCTCCATCCTTCTTTGCTGCACCCTGACAATGCTGAGGACCGAGCATGGCTGGTACCACCCAGACCTCGTCCTTTCTCTGGCTTTCCTATCAGCCTACACTCACAGAGGCCTGAAGCAGAAAAAGCACCTCTCCAGCTCTTCCCAGGTCTAAAAGTTCTCCAGAATGTAGTGGGAATAACTACAAGCTCAGTCTCACCCAACTCAGTAGTCAAGGTTCTCTGGAGTGACCTCACTTCCCTATTCAGCTGAGACCCCTGCTCTGGGATGGGGACAGCTGGCCCAGGGATGGGGAGTGGCAGGCAGGGTCCTGAAAGCCATCGTGATGGTAAGGTCTGTGCTGGGACACAAGAGTGATGGTGGGGGCTGTAGTGTGGGGCCACCCAAGGGTGCATTTATCCCACTAGGGACTGGGCAGAGGTCCCCAGGAGGGTCCTACCCTGGCTTCTTGGCACTTCTCTGCATGCTGAGCCCAGGATTGTGGGAGAAAATCTTCCTCCCATCATGGGAGGTGGGGAGTGAGCTTGGGTGAGGGTCCCTGCCCCCCCACCATGACTATAACATCAGGAGCGCAGAGGTCACCACAATGCTGTTGCCAAGCCCATCAGAAATTTCCCCAAAGAGGAACCTTTGAGAGAAAGGAGTGGTACTATTTAGGAGGTGGACCCTGGGGGTAAAGGTCTCTGAGTACCTTGGGCCTGCAGGCAGTGAGATGTGGTGGGGATGAAGTAGAGAGGGTAGAGTGAGAAGCATGTGGAAAAGTAGAAGGCAGAAAAGAGAAGCATCAGGAGCCCTCAGAGGCCTGCCTTTCCCTGAGGGACATGGCAAGCCCAGACAGGCCAGGAGCAGTCCCCACGCTATGAGCACACCCGGAGTCTCCCTTGCTTTCCCGGGAAGCATGCAGACTGACTCAGCATTGCAGGACAGCTTGTACCGAAGGCCTGGACTTCTTGTTCTAAGAAATTGGGACACCCCTGAGCCACTCCTTTAGGACGGGTCCCTGGGTGTCTTGTGAAGGCAATATTTCCCGTCCTCAGAGGTGCTCTGAGAAACTGCTGAAGCTTCTGATTTGGGGAAGGCTGTGCAGCTGAGACTGGGTCCCCTCCGTGGTCTAGACCAGATTTTCTGGTTTCTTCCTTTACTAGAAAAACTAACCATGATGGCTTCCTTTGGATGGATAGGCACTCTGGGATGCTTGGACCTACCTCAGGAAAAAAAGAAGGTGGATCTTTGACGATCACTGTGCTGGGCACTCAGAAATCCTGGTATTTTGAATATCAGGGGAGTTGTGACTTTATTTTGGCTCTCAGGAAGATGAAGCCGGACATACCCTAAAAGGACATGGAAGTTAGCAGCTCTTTCCAAGGATTTGGGAACCCTGCCCTCAACAGCCAGAGGAGCCCCCTCCCCCTTATCTCCTATATAGGAGAAGGTGGGGGCGTCTGCATGGCTGTCTTTGGTGCCTGAGATCCCTTGAGGCGAGTCTGAGCCACACCATCTTATCCTGTCATTCATTTTGTGACTTCTTTCTGCCGATATTCCAAGTCCAGCACATCCTCATCCTCAGTTATGTGAGTTACCTATCGCTAGGCCACTGACTACCCCCAAACTTAGCCACAATAAACATGTATTCTCTCACACAGCTTCTGCGGCCCAGAATCCAGGAGCAGCTCAGCTGGTGGTTCTGACTCAGGGTTTCTCATGAAGTGTGGTCGACATGTCACTCACAGAGAGATGGCTGGCAGGAAGCTTTAATTCCTTGCGTCATGGGCCTCTCCAGAGGGCTGCGGTGTATCCTCACAACATGGCGGCTGGCTTCTCCATCCAGGAGAGTGAGGCTGGATATAGTCTTGAAAATCACATACCATCTCTCCTGTCGTATCCTGTTGGTCACCCAGGTCAGCCCTATTTAACGTGGGAGGGGCCTATATAAGGACCTGACCAATAGGAGGTGGGGGTTTCTGGGGACAGTGGAGGCTGGCTACCACACCAGCCTTCAGGGAAATCTTCAGAAATATGAAACTCATACCCTGAGGTTTCCCTGTCTCGCAGCCTTTGGCATCTCAAGATTTCCTCAGGAAACTGACTAGATGCACCCATTTCTTAGGGACAGTCCAGTCTGGGATCATAGAGACAACCTCAAACCCACTAACTCTGACCCCATCTCACTCTGCCAGCCTGTAGCAGTTAAGGTGCTTTTGGAAGCCAGGGACTGAAGCTGATTCAGCCAAAAGTAGAATATACTGGAAGATTGCCAGAGTTTGTCACAGGATGGAGGGAAGCTGAAGAGCCAGGATCCAGGAAGGGCAGGGACCAGGCAACGCTGTAGAGCATTAACAGCGGGTTTGTGGCCTATCACTATGGAGCACAGCCATCAGTGGACTTAATACTAAAGCCCTCTGCCTCTGCTCCAATTTCCTGGCAGAGAGAATCTGATTGGTCCAACTGGAGTCAGGTGCCCACCCTGGGTCCAATCAGCAACAAGTGGGGAAGGGGGGCAGGTCCTAGAGCCAATAATATTGCTGAGGGCTGAGAGACTCATTAAGAGATATCTATTCAGGGAAGAGGATGGTTCTATGCAACAGTAAAGTAACTGAAATATTAGGGAGCTCCAAGATCACATTGCATCCCCTTCATTCTAGAATCTCCCTGGGACTTTGAGAAGCTCACTTATTCAAGAAGCTTTCCTCTTGCTTATTCTTCCCCACTGAATACTCTGCCTGGAGTCTTGCACCAGCTTATGGGCTTCAAAGTCACTTCAAAATGTGGTTCAAAGGCTACCTACTTCAGAATCGTCTGGGAAGCTGGTTAGAAATCCAGGTTATAGGGATTGGGGCTGGGACTCTGTATTTAAACCCACTCCACAGGTGATCCTAACACACAGCAAAGGGTGAGAAGCACCACCTTAGAGGGCTTCAGATGTAGCCTCATCCCAGCTGGCATGAGCCCCACAAGATGGTACAACTCTCTGGAAGGCCAATTCTTCACCCCCATCCCCTCCACTATCTCCTGACAATTTATTTGATGTGTCCCAGCCCTTTCTGGAGATTCTCATGCCCCTCTCCTAGCAGGAGTACTGCCCCGTGGGACACGCACCTTGTGTTCTGACCCTCAGCCGAGTCCATTTCCCTCCCCGCCACCTTCATGCTCCTTCTGTTCTGATTCTCTCCAATACTCTTTTAAATTTAAGTTTACCATTTAAAAACCTTTTATATTTACATAAATAATCTGAAATACTTCCTTGAAGTTAGGTGATAAATAACCAAATAAAGGAAAGAATTTCGATTATCCCTGTTCCTAGGGTGTTATTAGTCCCTGTGCAGATGGGCCTAATGAGCATTGCACGGGGATGTCTAATTATCCTTAATGAGCTTCCAAAATTCATGGGGCATGAGAGGGTGAGGTTGATTGTTACCCAAATGACTCAGTGAATCAAGTCTCCTGGTATCTACACCCATCATGTTGACTCTTGGCTTGACCATGTGACATGCTTTGGCCAGTGGAGTATCGGCAACCGTGACACAAACAGAGCTGTGATGAGTGCTGTGCTTTGAGACTTCCTCTTGGAACTCTCATGGAACCACCATGTGAGGAAACCTAGCTTGGACGATCTTCCTAGGAGATGAAGGACTTCATGGAGAGGGAGGCCTAGCCATCCTCACTGTCCCAGCTGAACCCAGCCCTCCGCTATTCCTCTAACTCGGTAGTTGGCAAACTGCGGCTCTCAAGCCACATGCGGCTCTTTGGCCCCTTGAGTGTGGCTCTTCCACAAAATGCCGACTTCTGTGCATGGGCCACAAAGTTTCAATCGCACTGTACATGCGCGCCCGCACATGTGGTATTTTGTGGAAGAGCCACACTCAAGGGGCCAAAGAGCCTCATGTGGCTCGCGAACTGCAGTTTGCCTACCACTGCTCTAACTGAATGCAGCTGCACAAACAAGCCCTGGAAATATCAGCATAAGAATGCAACCAACCACAGAATTATTATAAGAAATAATAAATCATTGTTTTAAGTCCTAAATTTTGGGTGTTTTGTTATGCAGCAATAGTCAACTGATACATAGGGTCATAATACTAACCACAGAACAGTATTTCTGTGCCACTAATTCCACCTGGTACTCTGTAGCCTCATAAAGATCTACAGTAGGGGAGCAACCCCAGACACAGTGATTTAAAGAAGATTGTTCCTTTTTCTTGAATTTAGAGGTCAGAAGTAGGTGGTTCAGGGCTGGTGGGACAACTTTGCCCACCCTCCAAATGGCTTTGGATCCAAGGTGACTGTTCCAGCTCTTGCTATCTTCCCACCAGTTAGAAGAGAGAAGAGTGAAGGGAGGGCATGTCCATTCCTTTTAAGGGCCAATCCTGAATGTAGCACACATCACTTCTATTTCCATTCCCTTGGCTTGAACTTGGCCATATGGCTTCACCTACTTGGAAAGGAAATATAGTTTCTAGCTAGGCAGCATGTGCCAGCTAAAATATTGCAGTTCTTTTTTTTTAATTTAAGGAGAAACTAAATATTTGAGAATAATCAGCAATCCATGACACAGTCTGCCTCCTTTGTAAGTACTCTCATCAATAAATATGAGTGTTCCATAGACTAATGTACCAATTGGTTAGGATGCTTTGGGCTGCAAATAACAATACTCAACTACAAGTTGTCTAAGAGTTGGAAGTTTTACTGTCTTCACACTTGATCTTTGCCAAGAGGAGATTATTATGAACTTAGGAGGTCTTGAGGTAGACATTTTTGAATCAATACTCCTTTCTTCTTTCTGCCTTCCCATCTTCTG